CCAGGCTGGAGTGCAATGGCGCAATCTCGGCTCACCGCAACCTGCGCCTCCTGGGTTCAGGCAATTCTCCTGCCTCAGCCTCCTGAGTAGCTGGGATTACAGGCATGTGCCACCATGCCCAGCTAATTTTTTGTATTTTTAGTAGAGACGGGGTTTCACCATGTTGACCAGGATGGTCTCAATCACTGGACCTCGTGATCCACCCACCTCGGCCTCCCAAAGTGCTGGGATTACAGGCTTGAGCCACTGCGCCTGGCCAAGATTGAATGTTTACCTCCAATTCTCTCCTCTCACCTCAGCAACCATAGGTCTAGGGAAATGCTCTGTGAGTGATACTATCCTCGCTTGAGGGAGGGATACCACAGTCTGAAATGACCACCTCTTACTGGTTGCAGCTTTTCTTGACTCTGCAGGACCAGAGGGTTTCTCTGCTTCTACTTTTTGTTCTGGTTATTTAGGGTGGCATTCTTGTCTTTAAAAAGTTTCTAGTGGTATTTTTGTGGGAGAAGTGGTGCCAGCAGATCTTCTCTTTTGTCATCTTATTGATGTCATGCTCTATAAATATTTATTTTTCCCACATTTGCCACTGAACTTGGGTAACTTCCCTACTCCATGGCAATGTTCTCTGTATCTGCCCCTTCCTCTCTCTCCTCTGTCCTGGTCACCAGTTTGTCTTCAGTACCTGGCATGGGCCTAGCACATGGTAGAGGCAGAATTAATATTTGTTGAAGGAATATCGTTTCAAAAAAGTTTAGGCCAGGTGTGGCGGCTCACACCTGTAATCCCAGCACTTTGGGAAGCCGAGTCAGGTAGATCATGAGGTCAGGAGTTTGAGACCAGCCTGGCTAACATAGTGAAACCCCGTCTCTACTAAAAATACAAAAATTAGCCAGGCATGGTGGTGCATGCCTGTAATCCCACCTACTCAGGAGTCTGAGGCAGGGAATTGCTCGAACCCAGGAGGTGGAGGTTGCAGTGAGCCAAGATCGTGCCACTGCACTCCAGGTTGGGCAACAGTGAGACTTTATCTAAAAAAAAAAAAGTTGATATTTCTGAGGAAGCGAAAACATGCATCTTACTTTTAACAGTATGTGTTGTTCTTTATTCCAAGTACAGAAACCTTCTAAACACCAAAAGAAACATTTAAAAACTCAGATTGTAATTCACCACCTAAAAAGAACTCTGAGTATGGTGCACTTCCTCACAATCTTTATGATAATGCTCTGTGTCAGTTATCTATGGCTGTAAATTAAGCCAATCTGAAACTTAGCAGTATCAAAAAACCACCATTCTTTCTCCTGGCTCTGCAGGTCCCCTGGGCTCAGCAGTGCAGTTCTTCTGCTTATCTTTCTTGCTGGGCTCAGCAGGGCAGTTCTTCTGCTTATCTTTCTTGGGGCTTTCATGTGGTTGCAGTGAGATTGAGGCAGAGGTGGAGTCATAGGGGCTTGACTCAGGTGTGAGGACAGCAGGGCCTTTGTCCCTTGCCCTGTGATCTCTCCTTGAGGTCTCCACAGCAGGGTAGCCAAATGCAGAAGCTGCCAGGCCTTCTTATACTTAGGCCCCAAACTGGCTGAATTCTGTTGGCTAAAGGGAGTCATAGGCTAGCTCTTTCTTACACAGCCCTTTCCTGCAGACCCTTCTAACCTTCATCCTTCAGGCCTTTTACAATATTTCCTACATCACTGCCTCTTTGAGGATTCTCAGTCATTTCCAAAGTGGGGCTTTCAAGGTAATCCACTGGGGTACAGGAAAAAATATAGTATTAGGATTTTCATTTCTGTGCTTTGAAAATCACGATTAAAAAACACATAACATAAAATTTACAACAACTATTTTAAAGTATACAGTTCAGTAGTGTTAAGTGTGTTCACATTGCTAGGCAACAGATCTCTAGAACCTTTTATCTTGCAAAACCAAGACTGTACCCATTGGATAATGCCTCCCCATTTCCTACTCTTTCCAGCCCCTGGTAACTATTGTACTTTCTGTTTCTACGAATTTGACTATTTTAGATACCTCATGTAAGTGGAGCCATACAGTGTATGTATTTTTGTGACTGGCTTATTTCATTTAGCATCATATTCTCAAGGTTAATCCACAATGTGGCATGTGACAGGATTTCCTTCGTTTCCTTATTATTAATTTTTTCGAGATGGAGTCTCACTCTGTTGCCCAAGCTGGAGTGCAGTGGTGTGATCTTGGCTCACTGTAACCTCCCCTTTCAGGGTTCAAGCAATTCTCCTGCCTCAGCCTCCCAAGTAGCTGGGATTATAGGCACGTGACACTATACCCAGCTAATTTTTGTAATTTCAGTACAGATGGGGTTTTGCCATGTTGGCCAGGCTGGTCTCAAACTCCTGACCTCAAGTTATCCACCTGCCTTGACCTCCCTAAGTGCTGGGATTACAGGTGTGAGCCACCGCGCTCTGCCAGTTCCTTCTTTTTAAAAACTGAATAATGTTTTATTGCATGTATTTACCACATTTACTGTATCAGTTTATCTGTTGATAGACACTTGGGTTCTTTCCACCTCTTGGCTATTGTGAATAATGTTGAAGTGAACAAGGTGTGCAAATGTCTTTCTGAGATCCTGATTTCAGTTCTTTTGAGTGGAGTTGCTGGATCAGAACTTACTTCTGGGTTTAATTTTTTGAGGGGCCGCCATACTGTTTTCCACAATGGTGGCTCCATCTTACATTTCTGCCAACAGTGCACGAGGACTCCGATTTCTCCACATCCTCACCAACGCTTGTTCTTTTCTGGCTTTTGATAGTGGGCATCCTAATGGGTGTGAATTTCTATAGTTTGAGTCTATAAAAAATAAGAAAGAAGTTACCCTTCGCCAGCATGTCATAGCTGGACTGACATTTTGACACTATACCTTGTGTTGTTTGTCCTTAGGTCCCCAGAAAGGCATGGCTTCCTGAGGGAAGAGGAGTTTTGCACCCTTGGGGAAAGGGATGCTGTGGTGATAGACAGGTCCTCCCTCTTTGATTCACTTCTAATGTATTGCAAAATGTTTCAGCCCAGCTAATGGGTTTCAGGGTTATATTATCCTGTTTTAATTAAACTAATCCTCAGATTATGACCAAGGAATCTTCACAAAAACAATATGCAAAAAAAAAAAAAAAAAAAAAAAAAAAACTCCAGATAGAAGAAAACATTAAGAATGCAAATCTGAGCAAACCATGAGAAAATAGCTGAGTCGCACTTCTCCTACCCCTCGTAGGAGCTCTTTGTCAGCCCATTTCAATATAAAAACAATGGCAAGCTGAGAAGTTGGCCAAAAAGGAAGGACTAAGAAAACCACTTAAACATACATTTACATCCATTTATTAACAAGAAGCCCACTTGAAGTGGGTATTGTGCCTTGAGACATTAAGACATGAGCTGATGGCAGTGGGCATGCATGCACACACACTTATGCATGCTAGAATTTATTTTGTATTTTCTTTTTTTTAATTTATTTTAATTTATTTTTTTGAGACGGAGTCTTGCTGTGTCACCAGGCTGGAGTGCAGTGGCACAATCTCGGCTCACTGCAACCTCTGCCCCCCGAGTTCAAGCGATTCTCCTGCCTCAACATCCCTAGTAGCTAGCACTACAGGTACATGCCAACACACCCAGCTAGTTTTTGTATTTTTAGTAGAGACAGGGTGTCACCATGTTGGCCAGAGTAGTCTCCATCTCTTGATGTTGTGATCTGCCCGCATTGGCCTCCCAAAGTGTTGGGATTACCGGCATGAGTCACTGCACCTGGCCAATTTTTTAAATTAATAGGGCAAGTGATCAACAATATCTGGAGACAACCACTCCAGAAAGAGGATCAGGAATTATGGCATTGCTGTTTTTCCTTCCTGGATTTTTCAGGGAAGATGACCTGCAATTCCGAAGAATGGCCTAAAGGGCACCAGGAGTGGTCTGGGACAAGTGTCATATCTTGAGGATGGAACTTGGCATTGCTAAGGAAGAGAGTGATCTTTAACCAGCATTCCAGGACTCCTCTGGGGCCCAGGCAGGGGCCTTGAACCTCCTGTCTGCCATCTTTGGACAAGCGAGATAGCCTGGCTTGGCCATCATCTGTCTGAGGAAGCAGTCTCCTGAGTGTCCTGAAATGCCAGGAAAGTAATCAGGGAAAACTGAGGCACTAATTGAAAACCATCTTGATGAGAAGCACAGCTCCTGGTGGCAGGAAAGGGCTGGGTCTTTTGGAGATGGTGTTACGTTCCTGACTTGACTTTTACCAACAGTGAAAGGCACAGCTCTGAGGTGTAACGCTGCTTGTTTTCTTGCAAACTGTTGTTGGCTGTTTGGGCAGGAGGGTGCTGCCTGACTCTGGGGCTCCACAGCCCTTCACCTCTCTGTTCTCTCTCTCTCTCTCTGAATCTCTCTCTCTCTCTCTCTCTCTCAGTCCCTCTGCGTGTGTGTGGGGGGGTGTGTGTATCTCACCTAAACCTATAGGTTTTGCTGCCCCAGACACGGCAGTGTCTTCCCAGAAGCCTATGCGCTCTAGACATACAGTAGCCAAGGGTCCAGACCCCTTGGGCAGTTCAAACTCAGCAGGACCCAAGTCACTGTCATGATATCCTCAGCCCAGCTCCACCTCCTCCTATATCCCTTTAGGAGACAGCTCTGGCTCATTAGCTCCTTGAGTAATTTTTTTTTTTTTTTGAGATGGAGTCTCTATCTCGCCCAGGCTGGAGTACAGTGGGGTGATCTCAGCTTACTGCAACCTCGTGGCAGTGTGCATGCATGCACACACACTTATGCACGCCTCCCGGGTTCAAGTCATGCTCCTGCCTCAGACTCCCAAGTAGCTGGGACTACAGGTGCCCACCACCACACCTGGCTATTTTTTTGTATTTTTAGTAGCGATGGGGTTTCACCATGTTAGCTAGGATGATCTTGATCTCCTGACCTCTTAATCTGCCTGCCTGGACCTCCCCAAGTGCTGGAATTACAGGCATAAGCCTCCGCCCCGGGCCAAGTATAACCTTTCTATGGCCACCTATGTTCCTAAGAATAAAGTTCACACCGAGTCAGGCACTCAGTCTGGCTTCCACAGACCACTCCAGTTCCTGTTCCCAGCCATCCCTGGTGCATAGTGCTCCCTGGCATACCGTGGTGGAGGTGGTGGCTTCCTTGTCAAAATACCTGGGGATGCTGTTAGAGTCCAGGGGTGCAAAATGTCCTGTCCTGAGGCAGGCAAGACACAGGGAGGAAGGCTTCAGCCTTGCAAGGAGCACCAGGTCACGCCACGTTCCCCAAAGGCCTCAGGTTCTGATGGTCTCTTCTGCCCTTGCCGTTTCCTCTGCCTGCCATGCCCTTCCCCAGCATCTCCATGTGGCTCACTCCCACCTGTCCACAGACCTCACCTGCATCCCCCTCGACCAACACAGCTGTCAGACACACCTCTCTTGCTCCCCTTCCTGGACAGGTGCTTCTTTGTGCATTTGCATCTTGGGTGGGAACCGTGGCTCTCTTCTGGGCCCCTTGCCACTTTGTGAGCTCCTTGAGGGCAAAGTCCAGGCCAAGGAGGACCCCTGGAAGTGGACCCCAAGGGTTGAGTTTTCAGGGACTCCTGGTGCCCCCCATTAACTGAGGCAAGTCCACCTGCCTCTTTCTACAAGAGCTCTCCAAGCTGGGCCTGGGGAATGACACGGAGGTGCAGCTGCAGACTCTGGAGCTTCCTGTAGATTACAGGGAGGCTAAGCAGAGGGTCACCGGGATCTGGGAAGATCATCAACCACAAGTAAATGATGGCCGGAGGCAGAGGTGCCAGGGCTGGCGATGTAGTGGAGCTGGAGCCTCGCCTCACGGGCCCAGTTCTAGGGTTGATGGCTGACATGCTCCCCATCCCCAGGCCCCACCAGTCATGTGAGCTCACAGCTAATTGTGTAAAAATTCAATCTGGGACTGTTTGTAAAAGTTTAAGCCAAAATATGGAGTAGGTCTTAGTAGGAAACCTGGAGAGGCCGGGTGTGGAGGCTCATGCCTGTAATCCTAGCACTTTGGGAGGCCAAGGCAGGTGGATCACCAGGTCAGGAGTTCAAGACCAGCCTGACCAACATGGTCAAACCCCATCGCTACTAAAAATATAAAAATGAGCCAGGCATGGTGGTTTATGCCTGTAATCCTAGCTACTCAGGAGGCTGAGGCAGGAGAATCCCTTGAAACTGGGAGGCGGAGGTTGCAGTGAGAGCAGTGAGCCAAGATTGTGCCACTGCACTCCAGCCTTGGTGACAGAGCGAGACTCCGTCTCAAAAAAAAAAAAAAAAAAAAAAAAAATCTGGAGAGAAAGTAGGAGGAAATGAAATGGAAGTATTATGCTCAGCCAGGACCCAAAAATAGTGTCCACCTAAGGAGGAAGCCCTTGGGCTGGGCCCCACACATGCCCATGAGAGGCAGGTAGGTTGTGAAGGCGAACATGAGGCAAGAACCTCTGCTCAGGGAACAATCAGGAGGGTGGCCAACCTGGGGGAGGCCCATCCCCATAGCACCCAGCCCATTTTATCTAGATATAATTACTGTATAAAAAACTGGGCCAGGTGCGGTCACTCACACTTGTAATTTCAGCATTTTGGGAGGCCGAGGCAGGTGGATCACCTGAGGTCAGGAGTTGAGACCAGCACGACCATTATGGTAAAACCCCGTCTCTAATAAAAATACAAAAAAATCAGCTGGGCATGGTGGCAGGCACCTGTAATTCCAGCTATTGAGGAGGCTGAGGCAGGAGAATCGCTTGAACCCAGGAGGTGGAGGTTGCAGTGAGCCCAGATCACACCACTGCACTCCAGCCTGGGCAACAGGGTAAGACTCCATCTCAAAAACAAAACAAAACATCAAAAAAAAAAAAAATGCCAGTACAACCCACCCCCACACCAAAAAAAAACTCCCCAAACAAGGACCAGATGATGAGGTTAATAAAACATACAGCATCAAGCCATTCAGACAGCGCTCCAGATGTCTTGATAAAATACCTGGGCAGCTATTTTTCAAAAAGGAAAAACAATCAATTTGAATAAATTCTAACAAGACTTCATTGGACTGCTACTAACTTCTTTTATTAAAGTTTCATTTTAAAAATTATGCAGGAGTCAGGCATGGTGTCTCACTCCTGTAATCCCAGCACGCTGGGAGGTCGAGGCAGGCGGATCACTTGAGGTCAGGAGTTCCAGACCAGCCTGGACAATATGGTGAAACCCTGTCCCTACTAAAAATACAAAAATTAGCTGGGCATGGTGGTGCATGCCTGTAATCCCAGCTACTCAGGAGGCTGAGGCAGGAGAATTGCCTGAACCCAGGAGGCGGAGGTTGCGGTGAGCCGAGGTCACACCATTGCACTCCAGTCTGAGTAACAAGAGCGAAACTCTGTCTCAAAAAAAAAAAAAAGAATAGTTTGAAATAAGAAGTAATTTAATGTAGAAGCAGCATGAGTTTTTATTCAGCTAAAGAAATCCAGCAGTTTTTCATTTCAGCCATATTAATTAGGAGACTCTGGTGGGGGACCGTGGAGTTTCTGGTGGATTTAGGGTTTGAGATGTTTTGCATGGAGCCGCGCTCTCTCCAGAAGTCCTTCTGCACATCTGGTGAGCAGGGCGGGCCTCATTCTCCTGGGGTCTCTCTGCTGTTGCCTGTTCCCACAGCTCACCGTGCACATGGGCATGGGCACTTCTGCCAAGGTGATCATTCTGGAACAGTCTAGCAAAAACCAAGGCTACTGGGACGCTGACATTGGGGCTTCTGGCCCGAGGGCAGCGTGTGCCTACCTGGCGGCCCAGATGTTCTGGGGTCAGGGGTCTGCATGAAGGCAGTCTGCAAATGCAGAGCTGTGGAAGATGTTGAGGTCATCTTTCCCCTCATGCAGGCAGCTACGCTCTGTGGGTGTTAGGACTCTGAGCAGGTAGGAGAGAAGCAGTGGCCTTCAGTGTCCCCCCCAATCTCTAAGAAGCCATCCTGTACTGTTTAGCTGGCCACTTGGCCATCCAGCGCCACCCCCAGATTTCCTGTCTTTGCTGTGTGCAGGTCAGCACAGTTGCTTGCACCTTGCCTGTGGTCTCATTTGTGAGACTTCCCTGTGGACACTTGGTCTTTCATGTCTTGATCTAGGAGAAGACATAGGAAGGCAGACTTCCAGAGCCACTAACATTTCCTGAATGTTTTCTCCTTTTGGTTTCTGGGGTGACGGAAGTTGTGGGTTAACTATGCAGACACAGCCCCAGATAAAGATTGATTTACCTTTGTTTCTCCAGACTCTGATTCCCAGTGGGCGGTTTCCCCTTCCCCCAAGGAATGAATAAATCACTCAATGAAGACATGAATGAAAGGGATTCATGGCTGGGGGCGGTGGCTCATGCCTGTAATCCCAGCACCTTGGGAAGCCAAGGCCGCTGGGTCATGAGGTCAGGAGATCGAGGCCATCCTGGCCAACATGGTGAAACCCCATCTCTACTAAAATACGAAAAAAATTTGCTGGGCAAGGTGGGGTGCATCTGTAGTCCCAGCTACTTGGGAGGCTGAGGCAGGGGAATCACTTGAACCCAGGAGGCAGAGGTAGCAGTGAGCTGAGATTGCACCACTGCACTCCAGCCTGGCAGCAGAGCAAGACTCCATCTCAGAAAAAAAAAAAAAGATAAGGATTCACTGGAATCCAGGTGTTGTGGGCTGGTTGGTGGAATATATGACCCCTTTCTGTCTTGCCCACTTGCTGGTCATGAGGCCAAGAGCCAGGCTCTCCCCAGCTCATCCCCACACCATGTTCTTTCTGAGATGAAATGACACAACCTGAGTCTCCCTTGGATGGCAGTGCAGTGCTCCCTTCTCTGCTTTGTGGGTGTCGCATTGCCACTTCTGCTTATGTTTCACTGAGGTTAGAGGCGGGTCCAGGAATTAATGTGGCACTTCCTGTGGTTGCAGATTTGTCTGTGATTATACCTATTACCTCTCTCTGCATCATGGAAAGGGCTGCGTGGTGCTTATTAATGTCCCTCCACTGTCACGCAGGCTCCCAGCCAGTCTGCTGGGAAGAGCCTTGAAAGTCACCATCCAGGAAATGCTGGAGGAGTGTGGGAAAACCCAGGCACAAAGCCTGGTTCAAAGAAAACTCAACCATGGTTGTTCAAGCTAAAGGGAACTGACTGGGGGATTGCTCCTGTTTCAATCCTGTGTGTACTGTTCAACTGTGCATTGAGAAACCTTTTTCAAAAATTGCTTGTCAGACAAAGGGGTAAAAACTCCGAATCAGCCCAACAAAATCATGAAGGGTTCTTTTATTGTCGGGAGAAAGAACACTCTGGAAGGTGGACATTTCACAAGGGATAAACTAGCTTCAGTTATGGTTTTCATGACAATAAAATGAAATACGAGGCAGGGTGTGGTGGCTCACGCCTGTAATCCGAGCACTTTGGGATGCTGAGGTGGGCAGATCAGGAGGTCAAGAGATCAAGACTATCCTGGCCAGTATGGTGAAACCCCGTCTCTACTAAAAAAAAAACACAAAAATTAATTGAGCTTGGTGGTGCACACCTGTAGTCGCAGCTCCTTGGGAGGCTGAGGCAGGAGAATCACTTGAACCTGGGAGGTGGAGGTTGCGGTGAGCCCAGATCGTGCCACTGCACTGCAGCCTGGAGACTAGAGTGAGACTCGACCTCAACAAAAAAACAAAAACAAAAGAAATCTGAGTCATCTCTTTTCTTCCAAAAATCTACACAGTAGGTCTGTATGATCCTGCCCAGACTCTGCGGCCACAGACACAGCCACTGCTCCAGGGGCCGCATTCCTGGCCTCCTAGCTTGCGTAACCTGGTTCTGGTACCCTCAGAGCCACTGAGGCACTAGTGTTTGGTTTCCCCCTTTTACCACTTACTCATTTTAATAATGTTTGAGTGTACTCTTCAGTAGTATTCAGTACATGTATTTGCATAATCGTCACCACCATCCATCTCCAGAACTTTCTCATCTCAAACTGAAACTCTGTACCTGTGAACTCCCTATTCCTCCTTCCTCCCAGCCCCTGGCACCCACCATCCCACCTGCATCGCTATGAATCTGACTCTAGGTACCTCGTATGAGGGAATCATGCAGCACTGGTCCTTTTGCATCTGGTGTATTTCACTCAGTGGCGTGTCCTCCAGGTTTATCTGTGTTGTAGCATGGGGCAGGGCTGCATTCTGTTTAAGGTTGAATAATATTCCAGCATATGTATCTACCACATTTGGTTTATTCATTCGTCTGTAGATGAACGCTCAGGTTGCTGGCCTCTTTTGATTATTGCAAATTATGCTGCTACAAACACTGGTGGGCAAACACGGGTTCAAGTCCTTGCTTTCGGGTAAATACCCAGAGGTGAATTCCTGGATTCAATGCTAATTCTCAATTTTTTAAGGAACTGCCATTTTGTTTTGCAAAGCAGCTGCACCATTTTATATCCACACTGGCAGTATGTGGTTGTAAAGCACAGGTTAATAGCTGGGCTTAGTCTCTCCATGGAATCTCAGCCAGGTGCGGTGGCTCATGCCTATAATCCTGGCACTTTGGGAGGCCAAGGTGGGCAGATCACGAAGTCAGGAGTTTGAGACCAGCCTGGCCAATATGGTGAAACCCTGTTTCTACTTAAAAAAAAACAAAAACAAAAATTAACCAGGTGTGGTGGTATGCGCCTGTAGTCCCAGCTACTCGGGAGGCTGAGGCAGAAGAAATGCTTCAACTCAGGAGGTGGAGGTTGCAGTAAGCTAAGATTGCACCACTGCACTGCAGCCTGGGCGACAGAGCGAGACTCTTGTCTCAAGAAAGAAAAAAAAAACAAGACAAAACAGAATCTCCTTTCTGTTTCATCTTTTGTTTTGCTTTTATGACATGGCACTGGGTCTCGCGCCAAGCTTCTCCCAGCAGGATTCTACCTGTTCAGTGTTTCCTAGGGCAGATGTCCACTGGGAGTTCCATTGGTAACACAGCTTTTTTTTTTTTTTTTTTTTTTTGAAAAAGTGAGTGAAGACAGCTGAGCTCTGGGAAATTTCTTGTTATGTTGGTGTGCTTACAACTACCATTTTTCACTTGACTACATTTAAAAAATTCACTTAGCGTTCAGATTCATTCACTGTTAAGAAAAGCATCTGCAGCTTCATAACAAAGGAACCAGGCCAGGTGCGGTGACTCACGCCTGTAATCCCAGCACTTTGTGGGGGCCAAGGTGAGCTGATCACCTGAGGCCAGAAGTTCGAGACCAGCCTGGCCCACATGGTGAAAACCTGTCTCTACTAAAATTACCAAAAAGTTAGCTGGGTGTGGTGGCAGGCACCTATAATCCCAGCTACTCAGGAGGCCGAGGCAGGGGAATCACTTGAACCCAGGAAGTGGAGGTTGCAGTGAGCCAAGATGGCACCATTGTACTCCAGCCTGGGCAACAAGAGCAAAACCCTGTCTCAAAACAAACCAAAAAAACCAAAGGAACCAGTCAAAGTTGCCAGCACACTATTTACATTTGGAGTAGCCTTTAGAGGACTCTCTTTGCAAGTACACCTGGATCCTTTGCTAGAAAACCAATCAAAGCCCGAAGGTTGGCGGGGAGGGGGAGGTGGTGCTGGGTGGTGTGCACAGATCTGGCTGCGTGTTGGGAATTTGATCTGCCTGTGCTGTGGGCAATTCTGTCCCAAGACACTGGCAAGCAAGAGGCCTCCAGGACTGGGCTCCAGTGTTAAGTTTCAGACTGCTTTGCAGCATGCCATAACATTTTTAAAATTTTTAGATATTATCCAGTTGGGAGGCCCAGAGCTCCCCCTTCATGAACTTCCCCATAATTTCCCTCTCTGTGGCCTCTGAAGTTCTCCAGGGAGAACCCCTGAAGGCCCCTTCACATCCTGGGCTATGTACGTTGCCCAGCATCTCTTGTCAGTGTACACAGAGCCTGCTTAGTTCTGGCAGTGCTGAAGTCAGTTTGAGAACCACAGGAGAAAAGGCTGAGTCCTGGGTTGGTCTTTTTTTTTTTTTTTTTTTTTTTTTTAAAAAAGACGTAGTCTTGCTCTGTCACCAGCCTAGAGTGCAGTGGTGCAATCTCGGCTCACTGCAACCTCTGCCTCCCGGGTTCAAGGGATTCTCTTGCCTCAGCCTCCTGAGTAGCTGGGACTACAAGCACACACCACCACACCTGGCTAATTTTTTATATTTTAGTAGAGATGGGGTTTCACCATGTTGGCCAGGATGGCTCGGTCTCCTGACTTTGTGATCCATCCACCTTGGCCTCCCAAAGTGCTGGGATTAAGGGCATGAGCCACTGTGACTGGCCTGGGTTGGTCATATAATAGCTGGCGGTGGGAGCGGGGGGGTCTGGGGCATGCCTGTATGTTCATCTATGAGAGTAATTAACATCCTTCCTTTGAAGGGTGATTGTGAACATCTTGTGAGAGAGCGGATGTGAAAGCCCTTCAGTGACGTTAAGTCACACATTTGAGTATGGGCTCATAGCCAGACTTCGGGGGGGGGTTCACTGCAGAAATAGCTCTTGAGGGCTTGCAGCCTTAAGAAATAGCATGGAGGGGAAAGGTTCTAACACTTCTAAAGCCCCAGCACCTTCATCCTAAGACATTGCTACTCCTCCTGGCTGGGCAGGCCAAGTGCAGATGGCACTGTGGCGACCTGGAAGTGCAGCATCAACCTGCCCAGGAAAGCAGGAGGCTATGTTGGGCTTTCCAGCCTCAGCATTGAGATCTCCTTGTCATCGGTCATCTAATGAAGATCCTCTGAGTCCCAGGCACCTGGTGACAACAGTGAGCAATAACCTAAAAGCAATGCCAAGCTTGAGAGTCCCCTCTTTTTTGAGATAGAGTCTCACCCTGTTGACCAGGCTGGAGTACAGTGATGTGATCTCGACTCACTGCAACCTTCGCCACCTGGGTTCAAATGATTCTCCTGCCTCAGCCTCCCAAGTAGCTGGGATTACAGGCACCTGCTACCATGCCCAGCTAATTTTTTGTATTTTTAGTAGAGATGGTTTTACCATGTTGGCCAGGCTGGTCTCTGAACCAGAGTGATCCACCCACCCCGGCCTCCCAAAGTGCTGGGGTTATAGGCATGAGCCACTGTACCCAGCTGAGAATCCCCTTTAAGAAAGGACTTTTGCTTTTAGGTGCCAACACTTCTGAGGCTCGACAGGTTTGAGTTAACTGTGGCCTTTGGTTTCCTTCTCCTACCTACACATTGCTATGTGGCTTTTCTTCTTCTGGCCCGATTTTGCTATTGGAGCATAATTTCTAGTGACAAAGTTGAGGGAAATGACCAGCTTCTCCTCCTGATGTGTCTGTGGGGCCTTGGTCTGATTCTGGAACATTTACACCTTGCCATAGCAATATCCCTTGACAAAAATAATGATGGTTACATTGTAGGGTCCCTGGGGGCAGGCAGAGATCACTAAGCAGCAGCTAGAAAGTAACTTAAGACTTGGAGCTCCTCCAGTGAGCCACAGCCCACTGGGTTCTCACCAGCACCCACCGGAGGTAGGCATGTCAGCTGTGAAAGACCACAAAGCACATGGGCAATGTGAAGAAACGAAGTCCTCCATTCTGGAGTCATGCAGATCAGACTTGCCTGACTGTTGTCAGTGGAAAATACAGGGGAAAAAAATGCACAAGATTTCCGAAATTTATATATTCAAATTTCTTTCCAGATAATTTAATGGAGTGAGAAATAGAAAAAGCTTCCCTGTCATCCTCACCAGCAGTCTGCATGCTGAGAAAGCTCAGCTGTCAGATAAGAGGCAATGCTTTCGTGGAGAATGCTTCCAGGCGACATGTGTGAACACATGTGCCCCACGTAGCTCAGATTTCCTGCCACCAGTGTAGTGATGCTTCCAGGAGGGGGAGAACAAGACCAGAGACAGAAATGCATACAGAATTCTTTTATTTAACTTAAACCATGTAGTACTTTACTAGAAAAAAGCAGAGTAAGAGAAACTAACGTTGCCTTAGCTTCAGCCATTCAAAATAGACAAAGTTTCTTTTTTTCATAATGTAAAGAATCCAGAGTATATCGCAATAACAGGAATAAAGTCTTACAACAGAACATACAAAAACAGTTTGAAATTTTTTTCATCTACTGATTTTTTTATATAAACAGGATTTTTAAAGGAATAATTTATACACAGAAAGTCATTTTATGTAACAAATTGGCCATGTTATTACCTTTAACTTTTTTTAAAAAAACTGTTTTTAAACAAGAAAATTCAGAAAATGCATTGTTTGTGGTGCATCCATTCCATCCCGCCTTCTGGTTTGATTTTTTTCTCCCAAAGGGATACCCAGAGGTAGACAAACTCTGGCAAACCTCTCACCTCAACCTCACTGGCTTAGAAAGCAGACAGGTGTTTTCCCAGGCACCTCTTCCACCTGTGGATGTGTGTGGCAATGCCAAACATCCAAAGGAAAAGTTGAAGATAAAACCCAAAGAGTTTCCAGGTCTTTCTCCTGTGTAGTGCAGAAACCCTAGGTGATTCCCACAATGGAGGTATTGTGGAGTTGGGTAGACGTGGCCAACAATCCCTTGGGGGTGAAAGGATGTGGAGTCAAACCTTCAAACCAATTTTTGTCTATGCTGTATTTTTTTTTTTTTTTTTTTGAGATGGAGTTTTGCTGTTGTTACCCAGACTGGAGTGCAATGGCGCGATCTCAGCTCACCGCAACCTCCGCCTCCTGGGTTCAAGCAATTCTCCTGCCTCAGCCTCCCGAGTAGCTGGGACCACAGGCGCGCACCACCATGCCCAGCTAATTTTTTGTATTTTTAGTAGAGACAGGGTTTCACCATGTTGACCAGGATGGTCTCGATCTCTTGACCTCGTGATCCACCCGCCTCGGCCTCCCAAAGTGCTGGGATTATAGGCGTGAGCCACCACGCCCGGCTTATGCTGTAGTTATTAAAAAGCATTTCTTAAAATCTATATTAGAAATTAGTGTCTTCGGTGTTCTGCCTTAAATAGGGTCTCTTCCGTGTTCTAACAAAGCATTAATCATGATACGAGGCATGTAAGCAAATGGCCTGCATGCCCCGGAGCTGTCATCTTTCATGTGATCACTCTGCATGCTGTGATCATCATCAAAACCATCATCTGTGCAGTCAGATCTTCCCATCTCCATGGCACTGCATGACAATGACAGCAGCCAGACCAACCCAACCAGATGCTGAATGGTGCTATGCACCGCTGGGCTGTAACACCCTGCTGTTTTCATGGCCAATGAGGTTCTTTCTGTCTGTTAAAGTCGCTATAGTCCAAAGGGAAATGACCAGTAAAAAATGATCCCCTTCCCAACCAGAGGGTTCTGGAAGACCAAGATACTGAAGATACAGAACTACTTTTTAAATGATCATCATTCCTTTGTTATAAACTAGGGCACAAAGCGCTGGGGGGAAAAGAGGGTGAACTACGGCCCGGGTAAAGGAAAAATCCTTTTTTTGGCATATTGTAAAGCTACCTAGTAAACAGGTGTCCTAAAAAAAAAAAAAAAAAATGGATCACAAACATACATTTGCACACACAGAGAAAAAAAGTGTCTTTAAATTATTTTCGGCAATTATAAACTACAAACGTTTTATAAAATTATTCTGTGTTCTTACAAAAATGCAATGAAACATGTAATTAGTTCTTGTAAACCAGATCTTCGTCAACTGACTACCCGTAATCTACTGGACTTAAGAGCCCTATTGAAAAGGCTAATGAGTGACTAGTTAAAACCATGTTGACCAGAAAGATGCAGACACACAAACGTGGACATACAAATGAGTGATCATTTATGCTCTTGCAGAAAAAAAATATAACCCTAAAGTCATGCCCCGGAACTACAACTGACGAGTGCGATGTAGTTCGTGTTCTTGAACAATTCGACTTAACTCCGAGATCAGTTTCCAGAGTAGGATGTTAGGTTTCTTTGTTGAAACCAAATGCCCATGGATGACGGCTGAGCCTTGATGTGGTCTGATAGCTTCAGAAACCATCAAGTTCAAAACATTGCCCACATTTCTTCCAAGCCCTGCACCCTGCTGCTCATGATTCTTCTCTCTGTGCCAGGATCCCTCTGACAATGGTTTCCTACCTACCACCTGGTCATTCCACCATCAAGGAGCACTCACTTCTCCAAATGACCAACCAGTCATCCAGGATGAAGGCCAAAAATGAAACCCTCTGACCTCTCTGAGGTCTGTATCTTCAGCATCTCTGGCAACAGAGGTTCAGTCTAAATAACATCCTCTCTTGTAGTTCTCATTTGTACCACCAACTACTTCAGAGTGGAGTACGCAAGAGTGACTTTCATCACGGGTTCGTAGGGAGTGGATCTCTGGTCCACATCTCCCAATGCTGCTTAGCCCAGGAAATGAAAAGACAGCTGACAACACAGAGTAACATTAACAAAAAGAACAACCCCAAATGTTAAATGCATAACTGGGACTGCTGGAATGGGCCAAGGTATGCCACAGCGGGTCACCGTCACTGGGAGGGAGTGGCGACCAATTCCATCTGGCCACTCTGGGAGGAACCAACAGTGATAGCTGAGGACACTGGACAAGCATCCCAGCCTTCTCACCCATCTGATCTCCATGTGCTCTTGCCACAGAGCCACTTGCAAGCTGTCCGGCCATCAGCCTGCAGAGGAGGGCTACTATGGGAGAGGCTTCAGTGGGACAAACAGGCCTAGAATCTGATGCCACAGAATAGTCGGCTCATAAATCTTTTATCCCAAAGCACACCCACTTGCACTGAGCCTCGTGCCATTTGGCAGTTCCACAATGACCGCTCTTCTATTTTATGAAGCCACTTTTTCTACCAGTGAAATGTGGCTCCGCATCTTAAGAAACAGGCTGGAAGGGGGCCAGGTCAGCCACAAACACGGTCTTCCATCTTTCAAGGAGGAGGCTCGTCCCAATGGCATGTCAAACATCATGACATCCCACGAAGGAGACCTGGGGTGGTCTTGGTCTCACACAGTTCAAGTTCAACGTCTCCAGTCCACAGCAGCTCCTGCTGCCTCAGGGAAGGGCTGTGCGGAGAATGTCTTAATGCTCACATCAATTCCATGATGTGCCTCAGTGGTTCACGTGACTTCAAGCAGTGTGAGCTGCTGGCAGGAGGAGGTTGCATGGAAAATGCCACAACTCAGCTTGGTAAGATTATTTGGAACATACGAGAGAGAAAAATCAAGAAGAGGTGGAAAAATCAGCGTGAAATTAGGCCAGAACTGAGGACAGATGCCGCCTTCATATAGGTCAAGGTGAGTGGGTTGGTCCAGTAAAATGACTGCACCATCACACAAGCCAAGTTTTCCTTTTATTGAAGTGTTTCTGAAGCATTTGTTATGATGGGCACTACACTGTTAGTGTTTTCTTTCTACTTAAAAGCCACCTACATAAAAACAAAATGACATAGCTTGGACAGTTTAAACAAAACCCTTTTAACCAGCTGAATGATCTGTAGAAATCCAGTTGTGGAAACCGGTACGTATGTGCAAAAGAGAGGAGAGGCCATAATTCCGAGGGGTCACCTACAGTGTGGAAGAAGAAAACCCTGATCAAACAGTATTTCTTAAAGACCTTAAGATCCCTGGGGTCTTGGGAGAGACGGGCCGCGTTCCGGCAGGAGGGAAACAGCTCCTGAGCGAATTCAGTCAGTACTGGGATTGCAGAGGAGCCATCTGCACTTGCGGGAAGCTGCCCGCCACGTTTCCCAGCTAAATCATCAGTGCCTGTAAGAGCAGCTGCTGGAAGTGGGGAGTTAGCTGTCTGTCCTGTGAGTAGCAGGACCAGGGACAGACAGAGGTACAACCCAGGTAGGAGGTGCGACGCTCATGGAGGCTCAGCGCCGACCACTGGCCTTTCCAGCCTGAAGGATTGGTACATCTCTTTCTACCCCTAGGGGAGGAGGAGGTGAAGGAGAAGCTGAGAGGGCAGCCTGCAGGGGGAGGGCATTCTGCTACTGCGTGCGTTCTATCAGGGGCAGGCTGTGAGGTCAGGAACCTCTGCATTCTGGAGTGCAGGCCAGGTGGACCTCGCTCTTCTGCTGCTGCGGCGGCGGCTGCACCTTTGTATTGAAGGAATACAGCAATCATGGCAGCACTTCCCTGCCTCGGTGTAGGCCTCCTCCAGGGCTGCAGCAGCAGCAGCAGCGAGGGAGCAAACCCAGTGCACCGCGCTTTTCCCCACAGGATTCTCACAGACTGTGCTGCCTGGATGCCTTCCTGACCTCAGACCCTGCAGAACAACTGCTCTCTTAAGGACGAAGTGTGTTGGTTATTTGATCTGCAAGAAAGCAGTTTGTTCCACAGACAGCCAGGGACAGCCTGGTGGCCCCCCAAGTGTGCTCTGGGGCCCTCCTATCTAGGAGGAGGAGAATCCTAACACCTTGGTGAAAACCAAGACAGAAAAAGAAAAAAGCAACACAGAACAAAACATCTCAGAAAAGACAGGCTGTCTGAAACGAGCAGAGGTGAGTTAGCATTGCTTTGACCCCGGAATTCGGCCTGGCTTCTCCCTGCATCACCTGGTGTGGAGCCTGTGGCGTGGATGAGGTTACCAGTATCAACGGCCTGTTGTCAGGTGCTGAGAAACGTGAGATGTATTCTTTTGTCTATATACACATATAAAAAACAAGAGTGAGGTAGAGTAGATACATGTTTGGGGGGAAAAACCCAAAAAATCAAAAACTGTCCCATCACACACACACGCGCGCGCGCACACATCCTTTCCTTGGGATTTAAATTCATAATGGGGCTTCTCTACGGTGATTGAAACTGCTATCACAAGATAAATTAAAAGAAAACTCCTACATATAGTACCTTCCTAATTCTTTTTAAGGGAACATGCTATGGGGTAGAGGCTAGAGAAAGCAGTGAGACAAACTGCTGACAAGCAGAAAAGCACTACAGACTCCCGTGTTTTATCTTCAGTCACAACCAGCAATCACTGTAGCTCAGCTTTGTTCTTACTCCTAATTTAAACATTCCCATCCCAGAAGCAACTCTTGTGCTGTCATCTCTCTGGTGAGAAGTGCTATAAATGAAACAAAGCAAGACCCCTGGGCCCCGAGGACCTGGATTCCTGGCCAAGGGAAAGTGGGCCAGCACCACAGCCCTGGTCCCCCGGCAGGGAGCCAAGGGGCTCTTGGGCCACTGTGGCATCTGTGCTGCCCTGACCTGGCACTCCTCTGGCCAGCAGAGCCCTGAGGATGCTGCCCTGGGCCAGCCTGGATTCTGGGGTCCTGCTCGCTGCCAGCAAGGAGGAGGTCCCTTGGGGTGTTCTGGTTCCAAAGACAGGTCGGTCGGCCTGGTGAGGGTGGTGGCAGAGGCCACAGCAGGGCCTGCCGGACCATGCTCGGCTGCTGCCTTGGACTCAGCCGCTGCTTTTCGTGGGATGAAAGGATTCAATAGCCATTAAAAAAAAAAAAAAATAGGAATCCAAATGCCTAGTGTCTGCAGTTAACACTGCTGTTGTACCCAAGAATTAAAAAAATAGAGATATGTGTATCACAACCTAAACAGAGGCAAGGGAAAGAGAGGGTGAGGCTTCTTGACCATGGTGAGTGGAAACACTGAACAAAGACGTGTGAAGGATTTAACCTTTGTTTTTCTGACCTGAGTTTGTATTATGTCTTGCACTGTAACAGACTCCAGTGCTGTGAGGGCGGGCTGGGGGCAGGAGTGTGGCCCTCTCAGGGCGGGTGCCCGGCCCTCTTTCTGCCTCGTGCCCTCACCGCCTGTGGGTTAGAAAACAACTAAAGGGGCAGGTGGGAGGGAGGAGGGGATGTATTTATAAAAAGGCATCAAACAGTTCATGGCAAATTATGTCGTAGAATTGTCAATTACCGGGAAGAGAGGAAGAGAGTCACGCACTCTAGTACAAAGCATAAGAAGTTTCTTGGAGTGAGCAGAAAGGGGAGAGGGTGGACCTGAAGGTTTTCATAGATTAAATCCACAGAGATCAGGAACAAAAAAAATAGCAGCTTGTTTTGTTTTCTGTACAGACGTATAGATGAATATCTGAACCGTAAAAAAGGTATAAAAGTGACGTTAAAGACGATGTGTATGCAAATGTTTCATGGTCTGACATAGAACTGTGAGACCCATGAAGAAGTCCTAGGAACAGAGAAAATGTCAACAAAGCTTAGAATGCTTGAATCCATTGACTGCTTTTCTTCTGACTGCTGTTGTGGTGTTTGAATTTCCTTCCTTGCAAGCCTGCATGAACAGTTGGGCTGAGTTCCTGGAAACCCCTTCCCATTTGTGTACTTGGGGGTGGGTGGGGGAGCTGGGGCTGGGAGAGGAGCAGGCATGGGGCCACCTTGACTCAAAGCCTGTCCTCCAGGCTGCCCAGGGCCCACTGCCTCCAGATTCTTGGAGGTTGGGGCAGGGAAGCTGGTTCAGCTTCTCCCCATCTTCACTGAGCAAAAGTCCTGTGTCCAATTCCCCCAAATAATAACCTAGTCAGAAGCAATGAGACCTGTGTGCACGTGGCATTGAGCAGCACAGCAGGGCAGTCAGAGCGTGGCGCCAGTGTGTGTCTCACACAGAGCAATCAGATGCCACACTCGCCCATGCCTCAGGACGCAAGGAATCAGCACAGGGATAGTGAGGGGAGAGTTCAGGATTTTGGCAAAATTTGGCAGCGTTAAAATGGTAACAGCCTTGGCTGAACAATGGCCCTTTGTAAATTTCAGGTCCCTAAAAAGGGATAGATTAAGGTAAAAATTTGCATCTAAAAGTTTTTTTTTTGTAATGACCTACGGTGTCGGGCGGTGTGCACAGGGGCTGCATGGGGGTCACAGGGACAGCCACTTCCTCAAACTGATAAAAAGGGCTTCCTGGCTGGACTTGCGGCAATCATTTTTCCATTATGAAGCAGAGAGAGAAAAGTGAGAGCGCAAAAGGGAGAGAGAGAGAGAGAGAGGAGGAAAAACAGGGACAGAGTGAGGAGACTGGTTCTCAAGTGCTCTGTTGCTATTAAGTGTTGTCGTTAAGGTTCTTAAAGGCCCATGTCAGTTAAGGGATCGGGTAGGGAATAAAAAGCTGCTTGCATATTGAAAAAAGGAACATCCGACATGTGTTTACTGCAGAGAAGTTGTCTCCCGTGGGCAGCAATGGCAGTTCTAAGATCCACTGAGGTACAGGAGCCTTATGAATAGATTGTTAAAACTTGCTGTCTCTCCCCCCGCCCCCCCGCTGAGCGTGCACACGCGTTACTGTTTGCACGGACTTGGGACCCTCAGCAGGTCGAAGACTGGGGCAGCGGTAAGGCCCGCTCGTTCTTGCGGCCCCCGTTCATGTGTGCGAAAGGCTGCCTCTCGTCAAAGCTGGCGCGGAGGACAAGCACTCCAGGACCGGGGCTGTTCTCAGCCTTGTGCCCGGAGCGTCTGTCGGGCAGTGGCAGGGAGGCCGAGGAGGCTGAGGGGTCCAGAGGGACACTCTCCATGTTCTCTGGCTCCAGGTCTAGCTCTTCTGGCTCGGGCGGCTTGTTCTCCTCGCTGTAGTAGAAGGAGACCTCCCTAAAGCCGGGCTCCATCTCATCTTTGATGCTGCTGATGATCTCCAGGAAGGAAGGCCTCATCTTGGGGTTGTACTGCCAGCACATGCCCATCAGTTCAAACCTGCAGCCAAGACACATGGGAGGAGATCCAAGCTGAGAGGGCGTGCGTGGCCACGAGGCCTTGTGGGTACCTGCTAGTGGTTTTCCTCCTACAAGCATAGAGTGGGAGTGCTGAGCACAGCCTGCTGCCCCTCCCCATCCCTGGCTTTCTGCATGGATGGCCCACGTGGCCTTCAGCATCTTTTTTTTTGAGATGGAGTTTCACTGTTGTTACCCAGACTGGAGTAGAATGGCACGATCTCGGCTCACCGCAACCTCCGCCTCCTGGGTTCAAGCAATTCTCCTGCCTCAGCCTCCCGAGTAGCTGGGACTACAGGTGCGCACCACCATGCCCAGCTAATTTTTGTATTTTTAGTAGAGACGGGTTTCACCTTGTTGACCAGGATGGTCTTGATCTCTTGACCTCGTGATCCACCTGCCTCGGCCTCTTAAAGTGTGAGCCACCGTGCCAGGCCAGCATCTCCTCTTTTACCTTGCATGGTTCCATTCACTTCACCCAGAACCCGAGACCGCTGTGGGACAAAACCCAAACTCTCCTTTCTCAAGAGGGCCTAACCTAGGTCCACATCACATCCATCATTACAGGTATTAGTTATGGTTCCAGTGCCGAGAAACAAAAATACGAGTTCTCTATCTGAGGCAGCTCAGGCAGCCACTGCTGAAATACCGTTTCTCACTAATAAGGTTGATGAGTGAGTGCAGCTTCCCCAAAGTTGCTCTCTCTCAAGTCCCACCTGTGCTATTTCTAAGCTTCCTCCTAGTGCAGGAGTACCCCTGCAGAGGATGGAAGAAAGAAGGCACGATGAGGGCAGGCTTGTGCTAGCACCTGCTCACTCCAGCCCTGTGCAGGCAAGCCCTGGCCTCATGCTATTCTGGATCAAACGAGGCCCAGTGAAGCCAGACCTGAAGCCAGATTCTAATGAGCCAGCAAGGAGAGCCCTGGGCATGAGTCCACTCCACAAGCAAGGGACAGGCACAACAGGATGACGCTTGTGCTGGGCTGTGACAGCACATGGGCTACAAATGTGTGTGGGGCCCTCAGAGTCACATAGGGCAAAGGGAGTCTTCCTCACTGTGGCCGGGGCCTACCAGGAAAGCAGCAGGCCGCACATGGACAAGGAAAGCTGGCTGGCCTGATCCAGGAAAGGCCTGAGCTTTGACAAGCTTCCAGAATGCAGAGACCCCCAGCTGAACAGACTTTTGGGGCAAAACAAAGGCAGCTGGCCATCATGCAGGGCTGGCCCTTGCTCTGAGGAGTGACCGCCAGCAGCCCCTCTTCTGTGAGCGTGAAACCAAAGTGCAGGCCTTTCCACATCTGTTTTCAACAAGAACTTCTACTCTTTAAAATTCTGGCTAAAAAGATGCTTTTCCATAAAAGTGACCACATAGGGCCGGGCACTGTGGCTTACGCCTATAATCCCAGCACTTTGGGAGGCCGAGGCAGGTGGATCACGAGGTCAAGACCATCCTGGTCAACAAGGTGAAACCCCATCTCTACTAAAATACAAAAATTAGCTGGGCATGCTAGTGCATGCCTATAGTCCCAGCTACTCAGGAGGCTGAGGCAGGAGAATTGCTTGAACCCAGGAGGCAGAGGTTATGCCGTTGCATTTCAGTCTGGGTAACAACAGCCAAACTCTGTCTCAAAAAAAAGTGACCACATAGAACTCTCCACATCTAGGAAGCTCAAAACATCCCTAATTGGCATCTAGCCTCCCATCAGGCCGGCCACTTGACCACAGACCACCTGCCCACACCTGGCCTTGGGTAAAATTCCAAGGGGAGGAAAATGGCCTGGCCCTGGAGTGTGGGTCCTCCGTGCCAGCTTCACCGAGAGACAGCCTGATGAATGGGGGCCCTAATACAAGGAAGGCCACTGGGCATGGATGCTAGCCTTCCAAGAGAAGATCTCCTCATTACTCGGCAGCTTCCTTCAGGTGGACACTGCAACCTTGAGGGGAGGGTGGGCCTGGGTGTGAGAGAGAGCTATCCAGCATTCACGAGCCTGGGGGCCTGCGTCTCCGCAGGGCTTCCCCTGGGCTGCCCTGGCACGGGGCCACACTGCCTTGCTTCCATGCGGGCTGCAGCTGCTTTCCAGGTACAACTGCCCGCAGAGGGTCAGGACAGACACTGTGGCCTGCAAGTCTACAATGTTTACTTACCATGTGGCCCTTTGCAGAAGGAAGGTTGCAGATTCCTGCTCTGGGGGGAAAGGAATTAGACCGAATCTGAAGGCCCCACAGTAATATGGAGAGTTCCTTGTGGCCACTTTTATGGAAAAGCATCTCTTTAGCAAGAATTTTAAAATTCTACCCCAAGGGAGAGTGTGGTGCGAACACTAGGTGTTCCCTCACAGGCCTGGGGAGCAGGTGCTACTGACTATAATCTCTCCCCATTTTACAGATGGGGAACAGAAGTACTAAAATATTATATACTTTGTCCGAGGTTACAAAACTCGTGCGGGTGGAGCTGGGATGGAGTTGTCTGTGCAACACAGGATGACTACTCTGATTGCCACGATCCTGGAAAAAAGAATTTTTTCTTAACCTAAGAAAGAGCAACCCTGGGTTCACCAGGAGACCTCCCTCGCCTAACTGTCCAAGGGATAGTCGCAGATGTCCCAGGGATATGGTCTGCATTGATAAAAACTGGCAGCTTGATAACAAATAAGCCTGCCGTCACTTCCTATGAAAAAGGATTGGGGTAAGGCCGGCGCGGTGGCTCACGAGGTCAAGAGATCGAGACCATCCTGGTCAACAAGGTGAAACCCAGTCTCTACTAAAAATACAAAAATTAGCTGGGCATGGTGGTGCACACCTGTAGTCCCAGCTACTCGGGAGGTTGAGGCAAGAGAATTGCTTGAACCCAGAAGGCGGAGGTTGCGGTGAGCCGAGATCGTGCCATTGCACTCCAGCCTGGGTAAGAAGAGGGAAACTCCGTCTCAAAAAAAAAAAAAAAAGGATTGGGGTAAAAAAATTACAATAGGCCATAAAGACACGAAATGCATCCCCATGGCTGGGCTGTGACTTCCTCTCTGGCTGACTTGCCCCTAGGCAGAAATGCAGCTGAGCCAAGGGCATGAGATGTGCCTGGCTTTGTGTCCTGTGGCGGGAGAATGAGGAAGTGCCACTGGAGGGGTAGTGACTTCAGCACACACAAGCCATGTGACGCCTCTTTTAAACCATTCCAGAGTAACAGCCATTCCAGTGCTGCCCATGAAAGGAAGTCTTTTTGGCTCTGTGGGATTCAAGACCTTGTTAACTATTTCCGCACACACATACACAAAATCCCCATTAGACTCTAGAAGGATGTGTGAGCTGATAAAACTCGTCTTTTAAAAAGCACGTTTGTTTTCTTTTTTACCACAGGTCAGCCCTGGTGCATCTGGAGCCATCCTTCTGGAATGCTCTCTCCCCTTTGGGGGATGCATACCTGGCCCTTCTCCTGGAACAGAAACAAGACTGAAATGGAATCCCTGCCCTGCTGGGAAGCAGCTTCCTGGGGGCCAGCTGTGCCCCGCAGAGGCTGGGTGATGGTCAGTGCGGGGAGCACACAGAGGTGCCTCTGTATTCCAACCCCACGCTTGGCCCCAATGTCCTGAACTAGACCGGCTGTGACCTGTGTGGGATGTCAGGAGGCACCTGCACATTGCCGCACCATTGCCAGGAATCAGCAGGGCCCCAGCCCAGTGCCGATGCTCACCGGATTCCCAGGGGACCTGCAGGGCTGAGTGTGCCCCTCTCCTGGCAGTCCTTAACGGTGAGGACTGTCTCAGGAACCATGCCTCAGCCAGGAGTGGACATGGACTTGGGGCCGCCGTGAGCTCACCGGGGCCGCGCTGGAGTGCCCTTGCTGCCTGCCTGCATCCCACTCAAGCACTCAATTCCCGTAAAACCAAACCAGGATTCCAGTGATGGGAGAAACTGTACTGGAAAACTACAAAAACCATCAGATTCCACTGAGTTTGTTTCAGACTCATCTCTGAGTTGATAATGCTCCAGGCCAAAAGTTCAGATTCCTTTCTGAATCCTGCAGACTGAAGACTTCTCCGACAACAGTCTGGGGAGTGGAGCTGAGGAAGCATTACCAGCAGAACAAACAGCCTCCTAGCTCATGTGTTGACGGCTGAGTTCATATCTCTGCCCTGGCCCTCATCCTGCAGCATTAGCGCCATGACGTTTTACCACGTTTCACAAAAGCCAGGGCCGCTCCTGGCTCATCTTTGTGACCTCAGGGGTCATCAGCACGCACCCAGAGATGCTCAACGTCTGTGGCCTAAGTACCAAGCTCTGGGCCAAAATAAGGCTGAGGACCGGCTTTGTCGTCCATCTCATCCAAACCCAGCAGGGAACCACAACTCAAATCTGATGTTGGGACAGCTGCTAAGTTAATTCACAGGAGTCATGACATTGAGACTCAGACCTCAGCACCTTATGGCTTGGAGACCACGGAGTCCTTCCTCTAAAGCTGGAGTACTCGGTGACTCTGAGGGGTGAGAATCTGGGTACTTCCTGATGCTGAGCAAAAGTCCACCTGCAGCCACTGAGCTCCTCCAGGCCTCAATATCCTCAGGTAGTGCCTGTTCAGACCTCAGAACCACACAACTCAAGCACCACTTCTTTCACCTGGGACCTGGCAGAGGATCCAGGTAACTCCCAAGGGCCCAGGGACTCTGCTCTCTGGGATAAACAGAGGCCATTCTTTCTTGTGACAACAGAACTCCCGTCTCAAAATTCTCCTTTCTCACGTAAGCTCATCAGTAAACTCAGAACGACAAAACACACACTCCCTATGAAACCAACTTGCCTCCTTTCAATCTGCTCTTTCTTAGAAGGAAGAAAAATTTGCCAAGGAGATTCTCAATGGCAAAGCAGATATGCCTCCTGAACCAAACATTTAATGTCAGAGTAACCACTCTGAGTAAATTTCCTCGTTACTCTATGCTGGGAACAGGAAGTGCCCTGAGTTTCCCATGGCAGGTAGGCTGCATCCCAGGCAGCCTCCATTAATATTAAAACCCCAGTCACCTGGAGGTGGACCAAGTAATAACCCCACAAGTCTCTCATAGATAAATGTTTACCCAAGTCAAAGAGAAAGCCCAAAAACAATACCGCTCTCCCTCATCCACCCCAAACCACAGGCGCAAAACGCACACCTGCTTTCATGGACTGTTTCTAAGTTTGCTAAAATAACCCCCGTTCTAGTATTAGCCTAGATTATGGCACTTACCTTTATGCAAATTCAGTAGGCATCAGCCCTTATACTCCATGGCTTATATTCAGACTCGAAACATGATTTTTCTTATCATGGCTGGCAAGAAAACAGTGGCTGCACTGCTCAAAGTGTGGAGCAGATGGTCACCTTTGAAGGGCACTGGGGAGACGGGGGGGTGTACCCAGGCTCCCAGATCCCCAGTTGTCCTCTCCCTCCTGTTCTGGGGCTCACATCCCCATTACACATGCTGTAACCTGAAGGAGAGGGTGGGAGCCTCTAAGTGTGACTTTGGAGGTTTGGTCAGAAAGGACACTGTGGCTTCTGCTCAGGTCCCGGATCTTTTCCTCTAGGGCACAGCAGGCAAACCATGTACCTGTCGGCCAGATCTGGCTTGCTGCCTAGTTTTCTAAGGCCTATGAGCCAAGAATGGTTTTCATGCAAAAGAAATTCAAAATAAGAATATTCTGTGACAACATAGAGATGATGTGTAATCCAAATTTCAGTATACAAACATGAAGCTGTATTGGAACACAGCCACATGAGCTTACGTGACACCTGCCTTTGCTCTACAAGGGCAGAGTCAAGTAGTCACAGTCGAGGTTGGATGGGCCCACAGAGCCAAAAATATTTCTAGCCAGTCTTTTAGAGAGAGAGTGCCAAACTCTGCTCTAAGAGAAGCCAGCTACACATCCTAAGACACGTGGGCAGTGCTATGGAGAGGCCCACGTAGGAACAGGGTGGCTCACGCAGGGCATAGCAACCTACGCAGCAGCACCTGGAAGTAGGTCTGCCCACCCCAAGCATGCCTTCAGAAGACTGCAACCACAAGGCATTCGAGACCAGCCTAGCCATCACGGTGGAAGCCCATTTAGCTGGGCATGGTGGGGTGTGCCTGTAATCCCAGCTATTTGGGAGGCTGAGGCAGGAGAAGTGCCTGAACCTGGGGGCGGAAGTTGCAATGAGCCGAGCTAGCACCACTGCACTCCAGCCAGGGTGACAGAGCAAGACTGTCTCAAAACAAAAAAAAGTGCAGCGAGAAGACAAATTCACTAGCACGAGATTCATTTCTTATTGCTAAGAAATAGAATCCTAACAATCAGAGGACAGACCAGTGTCCTGTCTAAAGGGACATCAGCTCACACGCTCCAGGTCCACACTGATCAGGGGATGAAGCTCTGGAGAGCATGTTCCTTAGATGGTTTATGACTTTTGTAAACACTTAGAGAAGACACCAATGTGGTGGCAGTGTTGGAACCATCTGAGTCAAGCTGACCCTATGTGGAGCACACAGGAGTCCTGACCACGAAGCTCTGCGTACATTCACTGCAGCAGTCCCCTCGGGCCTGCCAGATGTGGACAGGTGGCTCTTGAATTTGACTTCAGAGTAGTATGTGTTGTGTTCTTGTCTTTTTAAAACAAAACAAAACAAAACCTCATATGGAGAGGATGAGTAAGGATTGCTCTGGCCAAACATTTCACAGATATTTGGCCTGAGAAACTATGTGCAAACTGCAGATCAGAACTAAAGCATTGAGGCATATGGGGTAGAATTAAGGTACCTGCGCAAAGGCACAGATCTAACCATACTCAGCTCCTTCCATGAGGACAAACCTCTTCCCAGCAGCACCTGGCCGCCACAGTACACTCAGGACCAGGGAATGGCTTTCATCTCCTGTGACCCAGGAACACAGGTATTTGAGACAAGAAATCAGAAGAGCACTGAGGGGCCCCGGAAGTACGTACAGCATGTCGGGGCAGTTGTCTGGTTTGTCCAGAAGGCCGCCTTCCATCACGAAGCGAAGGACTTGCTCATTGGACAAGCCCTGGTATGGCTGCTCGGCCAGCGTGGCAATCTCCCAGAGCACAACCCCAAAGGACCTACAGTGAGAAAAGAACTGTGAGGAGCTTGGAAAGGGATGGACTGGACCATGCTGCCCCTTCCTTTCCAGCAGTTCTTCCACCCCGAGCAGAGAAACTGTCCTTACTGTGGGGACAGCGCTTGTGAGACAGCAGGCCAGGCCCTGGGCTAAGTGTGGGATGTCATCCTCCCTTAGTTGCTGCTAATGTTCTATGTAGACTAAATTCAGCCCTGGTGGTGGAGCTGAGGAAGGTGAGGGTGCTGCCAGCATCCCTTGCACGGTCAGGAAGCCCCTGATCTGTGCTTTGAATGCAGGGCATACTGAGCCCCTGATCTGTGCTTTGAATGCAGGGCATACTGAGTTCAGCATCCACCTAGTCCCAGCCATTTACGTGGTAGGGCAGTATCTCCTAAACTGGCTTTAGCCTAAGAAGAATGACATTCTTGTCCCAGCCCCCGCTTGGACACTGACTTAGTACTCTCAAATGAGGCCTGGGACAGTCAAGCTTTACCAAGCTCCTCAGGTGATTTTTGCAATCTGACAATTTTGGAAACCTCTACCCAAGTGGTTCTCACTGCTGGCTGCACAGGAGAATCTCCTGGGGAGGTTTCTAAACAGACAGAAGCCTGGACACCCAATAGAAGCTCTGATTTGATTGGTCTGGGGTGAGGGCCTGAGTCCTGGAACATTTAAAAGATCTATGGGGATCTTGAGTCCAGTCGGGCCAAGGGAGAAGAGAACTCCTATGTTCCCACCCCCAACAGAGCTGGGGCTGCCGGCCTGGAGGGCCTCTGTATCACAGGTGGGGGGACCAGGGTGGGCTGCCCTGGCTGGTAGGGGTATCCTGGACAAAGAATCCTTAAGCAGAGAAGTTGGCTGGGGAATAACTTTGTAGTGAGCAATTCTGCCATGCATGCGGCTTTGCCTGTCAATTTAAACTACTGGAAAACAAAACAGACAGTACCCGTACACAAATTTCAGACAGAATATTAAAAAAGACAGTGCTGTAATCTGCAAAACAAATGTGCCTGCGCAGGGCAAATCTCCATCATTCACAACTTCTCCCTGGCCTGTGTGCCTGCCTTTCCATGTGGTTCACTTCGGTGGGATAAAGTAGGCTACTCATCAGCAAGCGGCCAGGGGTAGGGGCGAGTGCGGCTTCCAGCTGGACCCGTCTTGGGCTACAGGTGCTGGCCAAGCCTCATGGAAAAATCTGGGGCAGGGGATTTCCCACCACTCCTTGCTGGACCTTGACCTTGTGCCCAAGCCCACAGGGCCCGAGTGTATGAGAATGTTTTATTTGCTGCTTCAGCTGCTTTCGGTGAATCAAAGATTTTTGTACAAATTGATACTAAAAGTAGATGTTAGACAGAAATAGAATCTTAGCAATCAGAGAACAGACCAACCCAAGGTCCTTTTTAACTGTAAGTGACCAAGAAATGCTGTCGTCTTCATGTTTTGTAAGAGACCCAGAGGCGAAAGCGCAGCTTAGAGCCCTGGGGCCAGGGAGCAGGGGCTCTCGGCCAGCTTCGTGCTGGAAGCTCTGCCTTCCACAACCAGCCCAGCCACACGGGCAGCATGTCAGGACCAGTAGGACCTTCACGTCTGAAATGCAGCTTGGCACAGGAAATGACTAGCTCTCCCACAAAAGATTACAGATAAAAAAGGCGCAATCACTAGCTCTCTGCTTTTGCTGACTGCAGGCTGGCCTGGGAAATGGACAGAGGATGTGGCTCCTCCCAGGCCCACTTCTCTTGCCCCTGGCACCTCTCCTGGCAGTGTCACTGGCTTGCAGGCAGCCAGTTCTCACAGCACGGCTCCCACCCTGGCCCTCGAGGCCCAAGTGCTCCATTTTAAGTGTGTGTCTCACACTCAACTCTGATTTGTGCCCTGTTCTTCCTCCGGCTTCCCTCCAGCTGATGCCCATTCCAACCAAGCAGTGCACCTGCTGTCACCCATGCCCTCAGCCTCCTCCGTGTCCCACTGCGACCTGTCCACTCAGGCTCACATCTGTCCAAGGTCTGGCACCCTCCTTCCGTCCCCCAGCACTCCCTCAGTGTGAGGACCCTCCTTCCCTAGCCCGCCACACCCCTCTCCTCTTTGGCTCCAGCACCTTGCTCAATGCAGCTGTATACTCTGGAGAACAAAAACTTCCTCAAGCACAGCTCTGATCGCCCTCCAGTTCAGAAACCTTAACAGGGCTTGCAGAATTATTCCAGAATCCCTAACACAACAGCTGAGGCCGGCTTGATCTCTCTGCAGCCTACGTACCCCAACGAAACCCCACCAACCCCACCTACAGCAGGCGTTCCCCTCTGCCATGCCCACCCAGCATCCCCACTGCTAGGAATCATCCCCTTCCTAGTGCTCCTTTTGTGACAATCTATACTCAGGGTGCTGCTCACATGACCTCATCTCTTCTGCGAAGGCTTCTACAACCCCAAACTGTCAGGATCACTTCCTCTTCTCCACAAGACTTTTAATTTCGAGGAGCAGGATGATGGTCCGCGAAAGGACATCATCAACATCATCATCCCTGCATCTTCCACACCCCGAGAGCCTTATCATCTCACACAGGCAACAGTGCAGGAGGTAGAAGACCCAGATCTCCACAAATGCTTGTCGAGTTGAACCGCCAAGGCTATCCCCTGAGCAACTCTTATCTGAGGTCAGCATCACCTGTCACTAAGGGCCACCGAGTGCTGGAGTCTCATCCTTCATCCTTAATGTGACAACAGCAAGGTGTGGATACAGAACCATCTCTACCCAATACCAGTTGCTACAGGAGCCATTTAAACATCTATTCAGGTACCACAGACATCCCTAGACAGATCTCGCCTTACAGATAGAGCAACCAAAGCCCAGGGGAGCTCTGAGATTCGACCAAGGCCACACAGCCGGTCAGAGGCACTGAGAATAGGCAACACCTCTGTGTTTTTCAAAGCAGGAACTTTACTGTGTGGTTTTGGCTATTCATGCCTTCATATAAAATCAAGTCTCCTATTTCATAGACGGGTTTAATCTTCAAACATTAGATAAATGTCTGTGTAAAGCCCTTTCTAATTAGGAACACTGAGGTTGTTTTCCTAGGGAGCAAACCCGCTGCTATGAGTCCCCTGCCACATCCGTGCTGGCTGGAGGCAGCATTCAGTAACTACAGTTCCCCACACTAGGAGGGGATAGTGGCAATGGCCCATTCACCAGCAAATTAAAACCTACAGAGAAATCCACATTCCCCACAGATGGTAATTAGCCATGAAAGAAGCAAATGACCTGGGCTATTTGTGACTATCTGGAAAGCTTCCTAATAAGAAATAAAGATGATGTGTAGGGTGATCCAGATGCTCAGGAGAAGGGCACGGCTCTCTAGGCTGTGGGGTGCAGCTCCCTGGTCCTTTGCCTGGTTTCCTCTGTGCCTAGAGGGCACCTTTGTCATTTCAGAGGAACATGGCACTACAGGGAGCTGCAGGGAGAGCAGCCACAGTGCCCAAGGGCCTGGGAATGAAGTCTTGGAAGACAGCAGGAACCTGGAGATGTTCTGGCTAGAAAACACACACACTTCCTTAGATGTCTCCAAGACCTGTCTATCAAGAACAGAGCAAGGTATGCAATTGTGTTACAGACAGAAGGTCCAGTGGGTGTCACAGAGAGGCTGATGGAAGCAGAACACCAGCAACTTGCTAAGAACAAGGACGTCTAAAGCATGAGGCTGGCCTGCCTTTGCGGGGATGTGAACGTGGAGTCCCTAGAAACAGCAGAAGCTCAACCACCGGCTGTCAAAGATGCTGTGGGTGCCATTTGGGGACTGGGCCTGACCGCATGGATACTTCCCAAATCCTAAAATTCTGGGGTCTCTTCTACAAAGTCAATATTCTCTGTTTCTTTCTAGATTTCAGCTATCCAGGAATCACTGCTCTGTGCTGCTGAACACAATCTAAAATCACTTCCATTCTTTTGAGAGGAACAGCTTTAGTTTAGAGCCTGGACAGCTGAGAAACCTACTCCAGTGTCCTAGCCCTCCTGACCTGTGTGATCCTTAAAACCTGTGTTAAAATAAACCTGAAGCACTGTCAATGCCTGAGCATGTCATGGAATGACTATCAAATGCCCATTCATGTTTACACAGATCTTTTCATATTGGTTCATAGTAGTTATGTAGTCAAATGGAAAGAAACTGGTATTGAACACCCTGTAGGTCCCTTTGTTGCTGCTTGTAGCAGTAACTGCTAGCCAGAATTTGAGTAAACTTCACCTGTGAGATATTCACAACACGTTATCATCCTGTCCTGCCTCTGTTCTCCCTGGCTTTATAGTTTTCTATTTTATTATACTACAAGCTGAGCTCCAAGGTCTTGCAGGCATGAAACCTAGAATACACAGATGCATGCACGTACCCAGGCTTGCCCTCTCCCCACGATCCCAATCTCTTAAAAATTGTGCAGAACACTTTGATCTGACAGTAAAGAGATAACCATCTTGGACAAGCTGACTGCAAAACAGATCTCAGACTTGAACTCGAGAAGCAAGCACGCTTTGCCAGGCCATATTCAAATGCTGTTTCCCATGTGCACCTGTCTTCAAAGTAAGATCCAAGGCCCTTGAACTGTGAAAGGTTTATGAGGTTAAAAAAAAATGTCAGTCCCTATTGACATAGTTCCTCTATTCGGTCATCCAGACAGTTGGAGTAAACAACTACCATTTCTGTAACAATAGCAACGGGACTCCCCAGAGGAAAGCGAAGACACTAGCTGACATTCTAGAAGGTGCCTGTGCCAGGGCCTCAGTCTGCCAAGAACCTCAGTTGTATTTAAGAACCTGACCTCTTCTCCATAGTGTTGCCGAGGAACCACAATAAATAATACCACCAATAAATAATTGGAGAAGCCTCCAATCCCAAGGCTGATGAGCTCCCACCGGAAGACGCTGTTTACAATTAAGGGAGACGTCTTGCTTCCCATAACCATCCTGGGTCAACAATGGTAGATGCCCACTGAAAGACAGGCAGCAGATGGAACCAACAGGAAAACACCATCAGGACTCATAAGCTTTGGGTCTCGATAAAGCACTGTCTACAATCTGAAGGTGAGATTAGGTGAGGCAGAGAGAGAGAGGTCTGTTTACTGAGAAAGAGGAAAAAAGAAAGAAGGCAGGAGAGAAACAAAAAGAGGTGACAGCTTCTGGCACATCCCAGCCCCTGGAAACATACTGATAAGCTGAAGACAGAAATGTCGGTCCCACAATTTCTTTAGAGTTCCACAAATGCCTTTCTGCCCTTAGCTTGCCCAGTGATAACGAGAACACCTCAATGTTGAAGGAGTGCGGCTCACACAACACTGAGCTAAGAATGAACAGAGAAAGCCAAAGCCCTGGAGACTGAGCTGGCGGGATGTGCGGAGGCCTGGGGGCCCCAGGTGGGCACTGCAGTAAAGGCTCTCATACCAGACATCCGAGTGAGTGGTGAAGACTCCATCCTTGAGGGACTCGGGAGACATCCAGCGCACAGGCAGCAGCCCCTTCCCTCCTTTCCGGTAATAGTCTGTCTCATAGATATCTCGTGTCATACCAAAATCTGTAAGGGGAAGAGAGGGTGCAGAGTCACATGCTGGAGCAGGCGCCACTACTGCCGCTGCAGAGGACCCTACACTCATTACGTGTGGACAGACACAAGGCAAGACACAGACACACCCCACTTTAAGGTGGCCAAACAGCAGGGTTTGCAGTTTTATAAGGCAGAGACGGTAAGGGATGATTAGTCACCTGACAAGCAAATACCATGCAGTCACCACCTTTAATACATTTATAATCTGATTCCCTTAAGAAATTAATTCCTTTATTCCATTTAAAATGAGAGGCAGGCTGAGTGCAGCAACTCAACACCTGTAATCCCAGCACTTTGGGAGGCCATGGCAGGAGGATCACTTGGGCCCAGGAATTCAAGATCGGCCTGGGCAACACAGCAAGACCCTGCCTGTATAACATAAAAACATCGCCAGGTGTGAGTGGTGGTGTGCGCCTGTAGTCCTAGCTACCTGGGAGGCTAAGGTGGAAGAATCACTGGAATTCTGGAGGTCGAGGCTGCAGTGAGCCATGATCACAACACTGCACTCCAGCTGGGGTGACAGTGAGACCTTGTCTTGAAAATAAAAGTAAAAACAGGCAGTGTAAAAATTAGTCCCATGATTTATGAAAATACGTAGTACTGCAGAGATCGACAGTCATTTATACATGGTTTTAAAACCTGACCAAATAGGAGAGTACAGATGCTTATTTACTTGGTAGCACTGCCTCATCATTAGAGAAAAGTAAATAATTTCACTGCTTAATAAGGGGGAAAATATTCAGAGTAACAGTTCATAATGACAAAAGTACCCGGTAAGATGCCGAAGAGGCGCTATTTACGAGGCCCCTGAAGCTATTACTCAATACTATTTTTCAACATAATACTCCCACTCATTTTTGAAAATTTCTTCTATTTTCCATGTCTCCAGAAGATGTCACATAATTATGTTTGATGGCAGGCTCGCTTTATAATCCTAAATTATTGCTGCTTTGTCAGATTTTGATTCTGCACTCAATCATACAACCTTTTCTTACATGAACTCTTCCATTCTCCTTCCCAGGAGAAAGGGCTGCTCTACTTTAAAATGCTCATTTATGCCTCTAACTCGTGCCACAAGGAGGTAAGGCCACAAAAGCAAATCCAGAGAACAGTTCTTTGGACTTGAACCAACATAATTTACTTGTGCTATGCAAAGGGCCCTCAAGCTGGCTCTGGTAAAATTACTGGTCATAGTTGTCATCCATGAGACACTGGGCATGGGAAAAACATCTCAAACCCTCGTGAAGAATGAAGTGCGAAAGTGTTATCTGTAATTAATCCAATGACATGCAAATGGGGAATTCACCTTTACTTGCACAAGGTGGAAAAGAAAGAATCCTAAAAAACACAAATGATCTTCCTCAGCACAAATGAAAACTCTAAATTCTAGGAAGAAAAACCATGATTAAAAAAGAAAAATCACTATAAATATGCCACATGGTTCAACAGCAAACATGATCCCTACCAATTTGAATTTAAAATGGCAATTGGCACAAAAGACACCACTCCCCATGTGATGCAAAGAGGGAGAAACTGAGTTCCTCCCGTGTGCCAGGAGGGTGGGAAGGAAGATGCAGACAGGAACTACCATCTGTAGAGGCCCTGCCCTGTGCCAGGCACGTGCTACTGCTTTCCTGCACCAAGTTCTTCTCACAATCCCAAGGGGTCTGCGACATTATCACCCCTATTTCCAAGGTGAAGAAATTGAGGCTCCTGGATGTCAGGCACCTGCCCCAAGTCTCCCATCCATTAGTGGCAGAACTGGCCCATCTGGCTCCCCAGTCCCTGTGCTCTCCCCTGCGCTGGGAAAGGGGAGCTGGCTAGCATTTCCATGGGGACGATCTGAGTTCTACAGAGAGGGAAGGAGGAGCCAGCTGGGTGCACAAAGGAAGCCCAGCCAAGATTCGGGCAGCTCTTCCCCGGGAACCCTGGGGCAGGACGGGACTCTATTCCTTCTCTGAGGGCTGCCCAGCTTCACAGGGCCCCAAATGTGAGGACACCTCAACGTGCCAAACCTAGGGACACACTGGTGGATCCTGAACAAGAAACTCTGATGATAGAGGGATGTGGGCTCTGGGATATGGCTATTTCAATACCTTTAGCTCCTATGGAGGGGAAAAAAGGACGACGCACCCCTACTTTAGAAACCATTCTCAGCCGGGTGTGGTGGTTCATGCCTGTAATCCAGCATTTTGGGAGCCTGAGGTGGGTGAGTCACCTGAGGTCAGGAGTTTGAGACCAACTTGGCTAACGTGACACCCCGTTTCAACTAAAAATCTAAAAAATTCGCTGGGCATGGTGGCACGTGCCTGTAATCCCAGCTACTCAGGAGGCTGAGGCAGGAGAATCGCTTGAACCCAGGAGGCAGAGGTTGCAGTGAGCTGAGACCATGCCACTGCACTCCAGCTTGGGCAAAAAGAGCTCAACTCTGTCTCAAAAAATAAAAAAAACAACAACCAGAAAAAACCATTCTCTAAAAGATTCTCATTATTCACTCAAGGGCCAAAACATTTCATTCAAAAATCGCCACTAAAGGAAAAAATTATGTTACCAAAGGAAGGTAAACACTTCCAGAATAGACAGTTCAAGAACTAGACTCAGAGGTCATTTGAAATAGCTTCCTTTGGATATGAAACCTCCCCTGCAGTTTCTCAGGGTAAATATTTGGTATTTTTCTAAACTATCATCATATCACAGTGGGAAGATGAGAATCCTGGTAAAACCAGGTGGTTTCCTGAGCACCCTGATGTTATGTGTGTCTTCATTAGGCAGATTAAAAGACCAAAGTAAAAACACAAGCCTAAAGGCTGAAGTGGGTCTTAACCTTTGCCAGAAATTTAGTCCAACCCTTTTCTGGTGTGAGAGTGGGTGGTGGCAGCAAGGCTGTCTAAGCAGTAGGCTGCTGAGCTAAGGGCAGGACAGTAAGTGTTGGGGGAGAGCAGTCCAGAGCTTGGAGGCTGGCCACCCCGGCTGTGAAATACGGTGAGCAGTGATCACGCCTCACCTAAGGGACTGCCATGCCAGCTCCTGCCACTGCTCCTGCTCCATGCAGGGGCTTCATCATTAGAGCCGCTTGCCTCTTAGAAAACAACGTGGACCCCTGGAAGGAGAGACCATTGCTCCTTAGAAGCTAGGAAAATCGGAGGGATGAATGCACGGTTGGACAGTGAGTTTTATTCCCAAGTCCAAATCTGAAGACACTGTCTTGATTCTTTCTTTTTTTTTTTTTGAGACGGAGTCTTGTTGTTGTTACCCAGACCAGAGTGCAATGGCACGATCTCAGCTCACTGCAACCTCCGCCTCCTGGGTTCAAGGAATTCTCCTGCCTCAGCCTCCTGAGTAGCTGGGACTACAGGCATGCACCACCATGCCCAGCTAATTTTTGTATTATTTTTTTTTTTTTTAGTAGAGACGGGATTTCACCTTGTTGACCAGGATGGTCTCGATCTCTTGACCTCATGATCCACTTGCCTCGGCCTCCCAAAGTGCTGGGATTAAAGGCGTGAGCCACTGCGCCCGGCTGGTCTTGATTATTTCTGTAACCAATGCAAAGAAGTGTTCTACCGAGAAATGCCTCAACTGTCAGGAGAGGCAGCCTCAGGGACCATGCCCAGGACCTGAACCACCGTGTCCATGAGCTATTAGCACTGGGACCAACTATGCCAGGTATGTGACCATCAACTGGAGACAATGACATCATTCCCAACAAGAGAGTGCCCGCACTCAAGGCACACATTAGAAAACCTCTCCAGGGGCAGATGAATGCCAACAAGGACCTCAAAACAACAAGGTCCAGTAAGTTTAGTTCTTGCTCAGATCTGGAAAGCTAAGGACACACCTCCAATCTTGACTGTGAAATCTTCGGCAACCATGCAGTTCCGGGCGGCAAGGTCTCTGTGGACGAACTTGTTGGCGTTGAGGTATGCCATGCCGTCTGCAATCTCCCCAGACATCTGAATCATCTTGCTTAGGCTTGGAGGTGCTAGGACCGGATTATTCTGTTGGAGATTAAAAAAAAAATTCACATGAGAATTTTGGAATTTTTTTCCATGCCAATTTCTTTCAAGGTTTGCAGATCATCTTAGTTCAATCTGGGCACCAAGGGTTGTTCATGCTAAGAAACCAGGTCTTGCTGGGAAGGCACAAACCGTCATGGAGAGCACGGCACCTGCTCACTCCCTGCAAGCTTATCTGCACCCTCTCCCTGACCACATCACAGAGCTGCTGAGGGAAACACCAATTCGCACTCTCTAGGACCAGCCTTTTCTACTTTGGGTATGGCAAAGATTATTTAAAGGCCAGGCGCGGTGGCTCACGTCTGTAATCCCAATACTTTGGGAGTCCAAGTTTGGCGGATCACCTGAGGTCGGGAGTTTGAGACCAGCCTGGCCAACATGGGGAAGCCCTGTCTCTACTAAAAATATAAAAATTAGCTGGGTGTGGTGGCACACACCTGTAATCCCAGCTATTTGGGAGGCTGAGGTAGGAGAATCGCTTGAACCTGAGAGGCGGAGGTTACAGTGGGCCAAGGTTGAGCCACTCCACTCTAGCCTGGGCAACAGAGCAAGACTCCATCTCAAAAAAAAAAAAAGAATATAATGAAACTGCAGGGTAAGCACACACATTTTATACTTGACATGAGATAGAGAAAATTTAAATCTGACCCATCTGAAGGTGAATTTTAGTTCTGAAAGGGATTTAAGGACTTAAGTAGTCATCTTGTCCCATCCTCTTATTTTATATTGAGGACACTGAGGCCCAGGAACCTGTAGCACTGTCTGAGGACCACAGGCAGCCAGGACCAAGACCATGTGTTCTGAATATTTTCTGTGTGTGTGAAACTGGGAAGGAAGGGAGTGAGTTTCGGACTTTTCAGAGGTGCCGAAAATGATGCTGGCGAGAGATACTCTGCTAAGTCTCCAGTCACCTGTTTCATCAAGCTTTCCTCATTCATGCTGGCTTCTGTATTAAAGTCAGCTAATAGCTGGGGGTGGTGACGCACACCTATAACTCCAGCACTTTGGGAGGTAGAGGTGGGTGGATCACCTGAGGTCAGGAGTTTGAGACCAGCCTGGCCAACGTGGTGAAACCCTGTTTCTACTAAAAATACAAAAATTAGGTGGGGATGGAGGTGCATGTCTATAATCCCAGCTACTCAGGAGACTAAGGCAGGAGCACTTAAATCGGGGTGGCAGAGGTCGCGGTGAGCTGAGATCACACCACTGCACCCCAGCCTGAGCAACAGAGCAAAACTCCATCTCAACATAAATAAATAAATAAAAATAAAGTGAACCAGGAAGAGGCACGAACACCCAGGGGTGCTGGGGACCAATACTTGGTGGAGCAGAGGGTGGGAGTGTTGTAAGCCACCCTACTTGGAGCCCAGTCCACACTTGGCCTTGTGGCTCTCACAGAACCCCAAACACCATGTGCTATAAATAAATGAAGTCATATGTCAACAGGTGCTTGGAACTAAAATTAAGAAACTGACACTTGGGAGATGATTAAGTTGCCGATTAAAAGAACATTAAAAAAAAAAATTAATCCCAAACGAAGAACGGCAAAAGAATTTCCAAAGGGGAAGTGACTGCTTCTAAGGAATAAGCAGACACACTGCTTACCCCACAAGTAGCAAAGTCAGGGTCAGAGGAGGACATCAGATCCACAGAGGCAACCAAATGAAAACGCAGTTGTTGCTGGCTTTATTTCTCAGCATTTACCTACCAGTTTATTTGTAGAATTAATTACTCACAAGTCACGCCCACATGTTAAAAAGCTGGCCTGTGGATTAATACTACAGAGCAGGGAGACACCACAGTGACTCATGAAAAATTGCACAGGACTTTAGCAGGTTTAGAATTTGAAGCTCATAACCTGAAGTGAAATTTTAGGAAACTAAGCAGAAATCCTGCAGCTGAGGTGGGATCATTCATTCACAAGCACAAGCAAGACAGTAACTCTGATCAATCCTGAAACGTGGACGTAGAGTCTGAGGAAGCCAGATTCCCAGTTGCAAAGGCAAGGGCTGCCAACAGTGCCCGGGAAGGAAGAGGGTGTGTGTGTAGGAACGGGGGTGTGGGGGGGGGGACGGGGGGGTTATGAATGAGTGACCATCTTGTGCACAGAGCTCAGTGGGAAATCACCCAGGAACTTCCCAGATACAAGGGCAAGAATCCAGGCAACCTAATCTTGAAGTTTAATATGTATTTACTGACAGAGTGTCTGCCACAAATGCAGCCCTGAGCCACATGCTTGGACTGAGATGAAAAGCTCAACACAACAGGGTAGAGGGGGGTCACACTCCAACACCACCACAACACAACACACTGAGAGAACGCACGAAAGGACCTGAGTCAAGGGCATTGAGGAGTTGGCAGAGGAGATGGTTACCCGACTGGGGCAAGAACGCTTCGGGGAGGGAGTGGCACTGGCCTGGCCTGGCAGGTGGACACTGATATGGGGAGGGGACTGGAGGAACAAAGGCGCAGAGGGGATCCAAGGAACAGGAAATTCCCCTCACGAAGATCAGAGTCGGACTCTAGTTGGGGAAATCCTTTGCATAAATGACCTATAACCAAGCATGCAGTGAGAAACACTGGGCGCTGAAAAGCAAACTGATTTAAAGACACAGCATCTTCTTGCAGGGAGGTTCTGAAGGAAGGAGAGCAGAAGGCAACATGCAACATTAATGGAAATCGAAACTGACCTCCGTTTCTGGCCTCAGAGACCGGAGATAACTCTTGAGATCGCCCCGTGTCATCAGTTCCATGATGACCAGTGTTGGCTGGCCCTGGGACACCACGCCCAGCAACCTCACCTGGGAGGAATCAAAAAGACAAAGACTCAGAGGGTCAGGGTGGCCCTTGCTGGTGCCTGTGTTGTCTGGAACTGTCTCTGTGGTGCCGTGGCCTGGTCTGAGCAGAGGGGTCTAAAGGTAACAGTGAGGCAATGGGGTACCTATCCAGAAGGCCAAGGCAAGACGCCAAACCCACGGGTGGAGCCAAGAAAGAACACACGGGTGGGGGGGCTTATGTGAGACTCTCCCTGTGCTGCATTTTGGCCTTTCAGGAACATTCTCTTACCACATGGTGACAATTGAACTCCTTCATCACAGAAGCCTCGTTGAGAAACTCGATCCTCTCACGCATGCTTGCAGCCTCGTTCACCGTTTTAATGGCCACTCTGGTTTCGGGTTCATCTTTCACCACACCCTTGGCAACTCCTTCATAGACCATCCCAAACGACCCCTGCCCAAGCTCCCGGCTCATGGTGATCTTCTCCCGAGCCACCTCCCACTCATCAGGAATGTACACTGGAGAAGAAACCGTAATTAAAGCAGGTACAGAAACAAGGCCTTAGAACGTGCTCTGGGGAATTCTAAGCCAAAGGATGTAAGATGCCGCTTCCTTAAACCCACAAGGGAGAATACCAGGAGGTGATGGCATGGCTGGCTCTCAACTTTCCACATGCTGTAGATCTGAGTAAGAAAACTGTACAGTCAAGTCCCAGTAGTTCGAATGTTTGAGGATTTCAAGATAATCTGAGGACACTAACCCCATATAAGGCCCAGAACAGCCAAGAAGCCTGGCGCAGCAAAGAAAGCAGTTGTTGAATTTCTTTTCATCAAGTAAAGATACATTTTTGAGAAAAGCAAATTAACCACAGGGGATAGAGAAACTGAATGAAATGGTCGCGCAGGATTTTACTCATCTTCATCAGCAGATTAAAATGCAGATGTGAAAAGGAGGAGACTGGCAGGCAGAGAGAGAAGAGTTCTTATTCTGGGTTGGGAAGGTCAGAGTTGCGTGTGAGAGGTGACCATGATGCGTGTGATGGACGAATCCAAAAGAGGTGTCAGGGCCCTCAACACAGACGCCAGGCCTGGGCTATCTAACATGGTAGCTGGTCGCCACATGGGGACCCCCCAACATGGGGCTACAGAGCACTCCATGTAGCCAGTCCAATTTGAGATGTGCTGTAAGTGTAAATAAAATACACACGGGATTTCAAAGACTAGCCAAAAAAATAAATATAAAGTGAACTATTTAGGTCACTTTAATACTGATTGCATGTTAGAATAGATAATATTTTGGATATATTGGGTTCAATAGCACATATTATTAAAATGCATTTGATCTGTTTCTTTTTACTTTAAGAAAACATGGCTACTAGAAAATTTGAGGTGACACAGGTGAACTGCATTACTGGTAGTATTACTCTAGTCAGAGTGTCTCCCAGCCTTGGCTTTGATGGCTGGATATCAGCTCAGCTCTGAGACTGAGGAAGAGACCTGATGGTGCCCAGCGTGGAGAGGCAATTAGGCAGCTGATGTGCAGAGGCGTTTCCAGGGCTCTTGGCCTGGGCTCTGTGAACTCAGGGACCTCCACCAGTGGGTCAAGATTGGGGAGGAATGCATGGAAAATCCTATTACTGAGCCTGAATAGGATTTCTTCTCCAGGGTCTGTATCTGTTTAGATTCTATCTGGCTTAAGAAAATAAATAAATGGGCTGTGTGTGGTGGCTCATGCCTGTAATCCTAGACCAAAATGGGAGGACTGCTTGAGCCCCAGGAATCTGAGACCAGCCTGGGCAACATGGCTAAACACTAGCTCTATTAAAAAATTAGCCAGGTGTGGAGGCACGCACCTGGAATGCCAGCTACCCAGGAGGCTGAGACAGGAGAATCACCTGAGCCCAGGAGGTCAAGGCTGCAGTGAGCTGAGACTGTGCTACTGCACTCCAGCCTGGGCAACAGAGCGAGAACCTGTGTCAAAAAAAAAATGAATGAATGAATGAATGAACGAGTGAAAAAACGAATGAATATTTCTAGGCAGGAAGGAAGGCAAAACAAAAAAGACGGTTGGAAAGACAAAACAAAACCAAACAGGCTCGATTCTCCACCTCCAAATGGGTAGGGTAAAAATGAAAATAAAATCAACCTATTCCATAAGATCCATATGAAATGTCACTAATGCCTCTGATGCTAACGTGCTTGCCTGACGGCACCTGCCACCAGGCTCTACCATACACCGACTGTTGGGAGGAGGTGGTCCTGGCTCAGAGAGGAAGTGGAGACGGTTTTCAGATGCTGACCCTGGGCCTCTGGCTGGATGTGAGAGGCTGACAGCTGTACCCCAACATCTCCATATCCCAACTACTGACACTTAAGTGATGTCTCAAAGGAGAGATGCTGCTTATAAATTAGGCCCAGGAGGGGCACCACCAATTTAGACCTCCAAGGAGTGTCCAATATGAACTTTGTTAATCATCTTGAGTTTTCTATACATTTTTGTATTTCATAGTACGTATGTTTCAAGGGTTTCACGGATGGAACTCAGCCCTCCAGTTGGCATACGTGGTTTGCACCCCAGAAGAAGAGGTGGGTGCTCATCAGGAGAGTAAGTGTGCAAGACCAATCAGGAGATAAGGCTCTTCACAGTGCCCCTCAAAGTATAAAGAGTCACTGTGTCCAGCCATTTATCTCTGAGAACCCAGGCTTGCTTTTAATCAGTATTAACTATGTAGCCTGCCATAAAACATGGAGTTAAAACCAATCACATTCATTCCCTGGGAGGTCCCTGAAGTCAATACCCTCAATCCTTTTCTCGAAATTCAACCCAACGGCTCTGACTTTAAGCAGCAGTCCCCAGCGCCACCAGCCAGGAGTGTTTTCTGTGCACAGTGTTATCAGCACTTTCCTGTAGGGGATTTTCAATGTACTCTGGAGAATGGTGACATGCAGATTAGCTCTGGGAAAAAGAAGTTTTTAAAGCACCTTTGAAGTGCAATGTCATTTTGTCACCCCTTGAGGAAACTGGTTATAAGGTGCTTGTCAAAGGCTGATAAATTAAGTTCAAATAAGGTGACACTGTTCCCACCTGTCGGCCTGGGTGCCAGGACGTTTGTTTTAGTTTTAATGAATACAAAGACATTATGAAAGCATTCTGGAAAAATACAAAATGTGAATTTAAGTCACCATGAGAATCTGATTTTATTGTACTGATGCTTTCTCTTCTGGACACTTCATAGTCAAAAGCTACACAGGCCAACCTATGATGCTGTATTTCAAAGCTGAGTAGCTTCTCTGGTAGAGCACAGTCCACCCTCACAGAAGGGGGAAGTGGTTTTGTCTTGTTCCTATCAATTCCATTATCTGAATTGATCTCCCTTCCTTACTGGTTTTCTTTTTAAAAGCTATTATTCATAGAAACAACGTGTATCTATCTTCTTGCTGGACTTTGATTTTTTTTTTTTTTTTTTTTGAGACGGAGTTTCACCCTTGTTACCCAGGCTGGAGGGCAATGGCGCGATCTCGGCTCACCACAACCTCCGCCTCCTGGGTTCAGGCAATTCTCCTGCCTCAGCCTCCTGAGTAGCTGGGATTACAGGCACGCGCCACCATGCCCAGCTAATTTTTTGTATTTTTAGTAGAGACAGGGTTTCACCATGTTGACCAGGATGGTCTCGATCTCTTGACCTTGTGATCCACCCACCTCAGCCTCCCAAAGTGCTGTGATTACAGGCATGAGCCACTGCGCCCGGCCTATGGACTTTGATTTTTTAAGAGACAATCTCGCTCTGTAGTGTCGGCGGTAGTGCCATGGTGGGATTCTAGCTCACTGCAGCCTTGAACTCTTGGGCTCAGGTAATCCTCTCATCTCAGTCTCCTGAGTAGCTAGGACTACAGGTGCATGCAACCACATCTGGCTTTGTTTTAAAGCGAGAGTTCCCCTCCACAAGTAACAACTCTTATAACTGTGGTGCGCATCTGTTCAGAATGTTCTCTCTGCCTTATATACACATGCATACAGATAAATGCATGCATATATTACTATTAAAAAACAAATTTGTGAGACCGTTATGTAGACAGAAATAATGTCTGTATTATTCTGCACCTGATTCCATTCAGAGGCTGCTTTTGATTGATTTTACTGTAAACTGAATTAGAAATGATTAAAGAACCCATAGTAAAACCCTACATAGTGTAACGGTATTTTCACATTATCAAAGTAATATTATCTTATGTTTTCTCATTTGATCACGATAATCAATTAGAATAATCATCTCTCTTTATCTCATATCTCCTGCCTCTACTTTCACTTCTCCTGAAGCAAAAAGACAGCAAATGCTTTTTCTAAACATACCCACTCAACATCATGCACTAATTTATTCATTTGATGAACCTGGTCCAGCCCCTCCTGTGGGCCAGCTTCCTTGCCTGCCCGGGGGACCTCACAGCCCTTTCCACAGTGACTCCATTCTCTTCCCGACTTGTCAACTGTCCAGCTACGTGAGCCTGCACAAGTTTGTTCTCATTGCTCATTTCTGCTCCTGCAGATGGGCATTAATAAAACCCACCTTGCAGCCGGGTGCAGTGGCTCATGCCTGTAATCCCAGCACTTTGGGAAGCTGAGGTGGTGGATCACAAGGTCAGGAGATCCAGACCATCCTGGCCAGCATGGTGAAACCCCGTCTCTACTAAAATACAAAAAATTAGCCAGGCATGGTGGCATGCGCCTATAGTCCCAGCTACTCAGGTAGCTGAGGCAGGGGAATCGCTTGAACCCAGGAGGCAGAAGTTGCAGTGAACCGAGATTGTGCCACTGCACTCCAGCCTGGTGACAGTGAGACTCCATCTCAAAAAAGAAAACCCACCTTGCAGGGCTGTAAGGAACAGATGGGACAGTGTTTCTAAAAGCCCCTAGCAAAGTTCCAGTTAAGGGTCCTAGTATCACTGGACTCAGTGACCAAAGTCACCTAATCCAACTCACTCAAAAGGTCTGGCTATAAAAATACTAGAAAGAAAAGAGCACAAAAGGAAATAACCATTGAGGATCGCCCAACTTCCAGGTCAAACCTTCCCAGCTGCTTAACTGAATTCCTCATTAGTTATTACCAAAGGGAATGTGACTGAGCCACAAGCATATAACCCTAGTGGGAAGGGAATGACAGAAAAATTCTGTGATTAAAAAAAAAAAGCAGAGCTGTAATTCTTCAAAGACAATTATCATGAGATGATACTCAGGCTGAAACTAGTTTAAAAGGACGTTTTGTCAGCTGCACCACATCCTCTGACTAGATGTTAACAATTAAAAAGCTGTTTTCATTCTAGCATAACATCTCAAGCAGTGAAATAAATCGATTACTGTGCTGGCCACATTCATCCCTAAAGCCTGTGTTTCCTTGTGCCCCAAACAGTCCCAGAAGTTTTGACATATTCACTCAACTGCTAAAAACGTTGATTATCAAAAAAACAAATATGAAGACAGATCCAAGGCCAAAGGCAGCTGAAAATAATGCAAACCTCCTTGCTTTCCCGAGTTAGCCACCCTCCTGAAAGCTCCCGATCGACCTCCCCTGCACGCTGGCAGTGATGGCGGCCCGGACTCTTACCATCCGCAGCGCTGAAGTACTCCGGGTTCACAGAGGCATACAGGACTCCATTCCCCAGCCTGCTGTTACTTCTGTCAAAAAGATTAAATATAGATTAATGAAACCCCACCTCCATCCAATTCTGTATATGCTTTCATCTTGGTTACAACAGTTTCATTTGTTCTGTCTCATGCAGTATCAGAAGAGAATGGGAAGAGCTTAATGTTTACAGCAGCTCTTGTCTACACTCCCAATTCTGGCCTGGGAGGCCAGTAGACACGTGCTAACACATCTTCTGGCTTCCTCAGAGGCCTCAGATTAGAGCTTTTTAAGAAACATATTTCTTTACTTCATTGTAAATAAAAAGGCTTATTTGATTGGGACGGCTAGTGCATCACATTTGGAAAAGCATACACCAGCGGCAGGATCTGTGTACTAGAAAAGCCAGCCAGGGGAAGGTATGTACTATTGAAAAATTATTTTGGCTGTTGTTAAAATCATTAGCAAAGGCCAGGTGTGGTGGCTCACACCTGTAATCCCAGCACTTTGGAAGAGGGCAGATCACCTGAGGTTGGGAGTTCAAGACCAGCCTGACCATCATGGAAAAATCCCGTCTCTACTAAAAATACAAAAAATTAGCTGGGCATGGTGGCGCATGCCTGTAATACCAGCTATTCAGGAGGCTGAGACAGGAGAATCAATTGAACGCAGGAGGCAGAGGTGGCAGTGAGCCGAGATTGCACCACGGTACTCCAGCCTGGGCGACAAGAGCAAAACTCTGTCTCAAAAAGAAAAATCATTAGAAAAGGTTCTCTTGTCTTGTGAAGAACACATGATGGGAAAATCAGGTTTTCCCGTCCATAAAATACTTCCTTGAAATCTTCAGAAAATTACCTTCACTCATACTCAAATCATCAAACCACTTGCCCACAGAAAGTGCCGTAACTGTGCACATCACTGACCTCTTTCTATGGAAGACGTACAGCATAATCACCAACCCTCCCACGATCAACAGGACGGCGATGGGCAGAGCGATGATCAGATGGATGAAGTTTTCGTATCCCGCTGCAGCAAAGAGGAAATGATAAAATATCACCAGGTGAACAATCTGCTCATTTCATTTTTTCACATTCAGTCTGAAGTATGAAAAAAGATCTGTATATTCCTATATTCCCCATCACAGAGGAGGAATTCCTAAAGGTAAATGGTGTCAGGAATAGAACATGGCAAACAAACAATTATTTGAAAAAAGGGTAAATATGTACAGACTGAAGCATGTACTCATTTTTTAACGTACAGTATAATCTGGGGTAATAGTTCCAATGACAGACTGAAGGAAAATCTTTGCATGCAGTTTAAGGACTGTTAGTGAAAATGCGTATATTGACACTAATTTCTCACATCCTGTAGTGTGTTCCAGGGTTTGGGTCCATGTCCCTGGTACCCAGCCTAGCATCTGCCATACAAGCGCTCGTTCTGAATGGTAAGTGGTCTCTCTGGTCTCACACCTTTAAAAGGCCTTAAATGCAGCAGCCACATTTCTAATGAATAGAGCAAAAATTTCTATTCATTTTCATGCGTAGAATGAAAATTTCTATTCCTTTTCATAAAATGAGTAGAAATTCTTACGTCTAGGTATAGTGCTCAAGTTCTGCAGGCTCTTATCTTTGAGATAGTCACAGACAATTTAAAATAAACACGCACATACACGCAAACGCTGGCTAGCACCCCTTTCCAATGCTGCTGCAAACATCTGAGTCCTTTTATAAGTTTAAGACCACAAAGACCACTAAGACCACTGATCATCAGAACCAGCACTTGTATGGCAGATGCTAGGCTAGGCACCAGAAACATGGACCTGGAACATTCTGTGGGACATGGGAAATTAGTGTCCACAGATAGCATGACAACTAGAAAAGTGGACTTCACATAGGGCAAGGAGTCAGAGAAGAAGGGAGAGGAGATAGGGAGTCCGGAGAAGCTCCCCAAGAAAAAACTAAATTATGATACGCGTTCTTTCTTTTGGGGTGATGTGGAAATGGCTTTCATCCTAAGATGATACTAGAGGGAAGTCAGGGCCAGCTCACAATGGATCCTGTCCAAGCTAAGCAGTTTCAACCTTATTCTGCAGATTAAAAGGAGTGAGCGAAAGGTTTCAGACCCAGCAGTGAACTAATCAGATTCAAGTTCCAGGGAAATGGCTGTGCTGAGGACAGTCTGTGGGACCTGGCAGTAAGAGGAGACACTTTCGTGTCTTGGAGAATTGGCGGGACATGCCCTGTCTCCTGGGCATGCTCTGCATTAGCCAGTTCAGACTTAGAAAGACATCACTGATCCTTGTCTATACACCAGGCAGACTGATGGAGATGATCTGGCTTGGTAAGTCATGGCCCCAGGCTGAGGCTCATAGGTTATGAGCTATCATCGAAAAAAAAAAAAAAAAAGAAAGATAAAAGAAAAAAATACACTATGAGCTATCATAGTGTATGAGCCTCATCCTGGGGCCATGACTTACCGAGCCAGATCATCTCCGTCCCCCAGGGCAAGGGACCTGGAGTCTGAGCTTTGGCGGTGCTGGTGGTGATAGAGGGCTGGATTCCAGAGCCATTTAAGAGGCAGAATCCATGAGGCTTGGGTTGGAATGAAGAATGGGTGGCTGGAGAGAAAGAAGAGTGAGGGATGCTGTGAGGTTCCTGGCTTGGGTAACAAATGCATTACAAGGCCATGGACCCAGCTAAGGAACAAAGAAGAGAAGAGGCCTTTTGAGGGCAACAACTGTGATTCTGGTTTTGGCACAAGGAACCTGACACCTCTATGAGACATCCAAGTACAAATGTCTATGTGGAAATGGGCTTGGAATCACTGGAGATCTAGTTAACACAAATCATTAAGTCCCCTATCGATGATTTTGCCATTTAAAAAACATTATCATGGTTACTCATTAAAGGCCACTAAAGCTGTTGTAATTTTTAAAATTAAAACTATTTTAATCAAAGATGAAGATATTTTTATTGATATTATCTCTTTCAAAATGGATGCAGGCTCCAGCATTTTGTACTTCCTAAAAACACTCACAGGTGATTATTGCCAAGGGGAAGAGGCAGATTTTCCTTTCCTCCCCCTTGAGGCCTATTCCTTCTGCTTGTATCACTTATACTACTGGTCAGGTTGTACTGTGTTCTTTTCGAGTTTCACATTTCAACAGGGACATGGAGAAACTGGAACACATCCAGAAGAACAACAAAATGATTAAATGGCTGGAAAACTGGTATATGATATTGGGCTACAAGAAAAGGCCAAACGACCTGAGATTCTTTCACCTGGAAAAGAGAAGTCTGAGGAGTAATTTAATGGTATTCAGGCACACAAAGATTTCCTAAAAGGAAGGCAGTTGCCTGAAAGCTTCCAAACCTTCTATCTCCTCTGAGGATTAAATAGGAGGAAGTGAGTATAAACTGGATCAGGACCGAGTCTTGTCTGACATAGGGAAAAATTTCTCAACAGAAAAGCCAGCACACAGATCCATTTCCCTGTAGTACATGATAACTTCTGCTGGAAAAATTCCATCGGAAGGACTCCTGATTTCCCACAGGCATCCTGGCACTTACAGAGTTAAAAATGGGGCAGCAGAGGCAGACAGGAGCATGTCTTGTCCCTAAAACAAGCCAAGTTCACTGAACCCCAGAAGCCAAAGGTTGCTGTTACATAGATCACAGACCCCAAAACGAGGCTCTGTTTCTAGGAAATGGAACAGCCTAAGAATTCTGTCTTATTAATGACTTGAGCATAAACTCCCATTCCTCAGTCTGCACCAAAGGTGAGCATCATGTATCTCCAATGCATATGGGGGCTGTAAAAGAGCAATGCAGGGTCTGGGATTCTCTCATGGATATTCCTGCCCTGCAGCAGGCTGAACCAGATGGCCTCTGAAGTTCCTTTAACCCCATAGGATTTCAAGCCCTGAATCTGAGCCCTATCTAGCTTTACTGACCAAGCAGGAGGTGGAATGGTCAATTCAAAGTTTTGTAAAATGTCTTTCGTTTAATAAAACAAAGGTCTTTGCATATAAGCCAGGTTGAAACCAACGGTCTCCTCTGGCTCTCCAGTGACTGTGCCATTTCAGAAGAGAGGCTCAGATCCTCTCCCTGCCTGCCACATGAGGTAGGGACCCAAAGCTCAGCATGTGCCCTGCCCAAGATGTCACACATGGTGCCTGTGTTTGTCGGCACCTAAGCATGACCCTTCTGAAAGCCGGCAACTCGACTGTAACAGAAAGTGCGAGAGCCACAGACACTCGGGCTGTCCTCATCCCAGACCAGCTCGCTTTCAGTTTTCCCACGTTTCTTCTCCCTCCACAAGCCTTACTTTTGGCCTGGACATAGAAGAACACAGGCTCTGTCCACGACCCATTCCCAGAGAGAGACGTGGCCTGAATCCGGGCTGTGTAGTTCCCCGGGTTTAGCCGGTTTAGCTTGGCCCCTCCGTACTTCCTGTAGTCCTGTCTGGACACACATTCCCGCTGATCCTGGGGAAATAAAACATACATGTCAATTTTCCATAAACGCAGGAGAAATCTGGGGCCTGCCAACTGAACTCACTGCACTGGGGACTCCAGCTGCCTGATCTGACGTCCCACCTAACAATGATCCCGACAGTCAGCAAAGAGGAAGAAATCAAGTCTTAAAAGGTCATCTTCAAGGAGCTTTAAGCACACCCAAAAGCTTTAACCAAACGTTTTTGTAACCAAGAACTCCAGAAGGATTAAAAGTTATTAAGAGCTGATCTGGCCTATGCCACAAGGTTATCTTATACAATGAAATCGTTTCTTGAGGGCAAAGAGCAGCCTAGTTCTTTGCACACTGTGGAGTACTCCTTATGGAGTATATGGAGTGGGTAGAAAGACCTGAATCCTCAGCAACTTGGTGCATATTTTATTAAATCCTACGCTAACCAGGAAGTAACCTGTGCAGTAAGGTAGCGTATGCTGTCAACGGATGGAAATGCACGCAGGCACAGGCCACCGCCCCAGTCCTACCTCAACTTGTGCTCCGTACTTTATTTCATACATTAGGATCAATCCATTGGGATTCTCAGGTTCCGGCCACTTTAAAAAGATGGAGTTTTCAGGCCTTGGCTCCCAGGTCACTGGCCCAGGAATATCATCTGCTCCGTCTGTACAATTTAAACAAGTGACAGAGTTGGATTTGGGTTCCCAGGGAGGGGGGCCAACACTGGGCTGACCTGAGAATAACCCCCCATCCACGCGGGCAGGACTATGGAGAGCAGTCACGTACCCTGCCCCTGAGCAGGCTGCACACACACAGCATAGAGGAGGGTTCAGAATCACACCAACCCCATGACTTGCACGTCTCAAGATGCCACAGGATTCTCCTTTCTCCCCAGTCCCTCAACAAAAAAAACCTGTTGCCAAGCAGAGCAGGAAAATCTTGACAACCTAAGTAACTTTCTTCTATTCTGTGCCTACCACTTGAAAAAAAGAAAGCTTTGTGAAGCTACCAAACCCAAGCAGCCCTGAAGAGATGCTGAATAAGCAGAAGCAGGGCACGGGGCCCTGCCGGCTATGACAGGGACCCTCGGTGGCCCGCGGCCACACATGGAAACTGCAGTTTTTACGCAGGCACAAAGGATGGCTCAAGCCTGGCCTGGGAGGAAGCTGCTGGGAGGCTGCTGCCAAGAGCAGGGCAAGCCTCCCTGCCGGCATCAATTCCTCTAGCTGCTGGTTGACCTTGCAGTGGTTCCTCTCTTGATTTTGCTTCTTGAACCAATAAACAATGAGGTGATAAGCAAAGGTCACGGAAAGTTACAGCTGGAAAAGGTACTGGAGGGGTCAGCTGGCTATGTCTCTCCTAGGAGGGCTAAGGAAACTGAGGCAGGAAGCCTGACAATTGCCTCAAGGCATGCTGCCATGCACTTCAGTGCCAGAACTGTGCCAGGAGGAACCCATGCCCCAGATACCCATCACCTCCATGCTCTTTCTACTGCCTGAGGCCTCCTAAAGAAACAAGAACAAGGCAGTGCTTGTTCTGTCTTTGAAGGCAACCACCTTCAATGCCCGAGCGACAGGCAATGTCTACGGACAAGGGAAAGCCAAAGACTAAGTAAGCAAGACTGGAGCCTACTCCAGGAGTTAACCTTGAGGGGCAGTGGTTACTCTGGACCAAGGCCACTAACTGGGGACATCTCTGAATATGTGAGAGCTCAGGAGGGGGCAGCTCAATTTATTTGTGTACAAGAGGGGCAAAGGGCAGTGGGAGTGCATGCTGTGAACCAAGTAGCAGGCGGAGGGTGGGCCCTGCAGAGAGCTCCCTGCTCCCAGCATGTTCTATGGAGAAACTAGCTGGGAGTGGTGTCACTAGGAGAGCGAGGGCTCTGTTCCCTGGGCAGGTGGTCTACCATGCCACCTGCCAATGATCACACACCATTTAGCAGCCAGGCCTGACACTAAGGGTCTTGGCCCTGGGTGTCAGACCCTGTGACCATAAAAACCATTTTCACTGGGTTGTGAGGGACGTGGCAATGGGGCCAGCTGGGTCATACCATACCTGCAGGCATAGTCCTTGCAAAGACAAAGTTGGAGGCGCTGCAGCCCAGCCTCTCAGCCTCGTGGTTGCAGCTGTGGATATCGATGCGGTACAGTGTGAAAGGCCGAAGGTTAGAAATGACAGTTCTCTCCCTGTTATCCACTCTGCTCTCAAAGAAGGGGTACTCCGTCTCGAGCTCGTCCAGGTCTGTGATGTTGTAGGTGTCAACGGCCGTGGTGTTCCTGCTTCGGCTGGACGTGCTGCTGTTGGCTACCTGGATGACATCTCTCCGCTTCCTGTCAGGTCTGCAAGGAAGAGAGAAATGTGGCTTTTAGGTGCTTTTACCTCTTTCGTCTTTTCTGCAACTTGAGTAAGGGTAACTGCAGCATCTTAACCGTGGAATAAAGGAAGCTCTTCGGCCCCCTTGGATACGAATTTGTGAATAACACGGGGATGTCCTTCCTCATTATCTTGCTTTCTCTACTCTGCAAGTGACAGAATGGACACACAAACTCTCGCCCCCAACCTCTGGCTCTCAGAGTGGATCTTCAATTCTACCTAGAGGCAAACAGTGTCACCACCACGCTTGGCTGGGCAATCCTGGCTGTGTCATCAGAACACTCAGGCCATCTGGTCACAGATCTTATGGTTAAGCATTAAAGGTGACAAACCTACCAGGTGCACTAAGATGTGTTAGGGCGGGAGGGAAGAGGTGAGGTGGTGTGGCAGAGGGCCCAGAGACCTGGCACAGAGGGATGTGAAAGCCTGTGGCGGTGGCTCCTTGCATCTGCCTGACGGGAAATAAAGATGCCTGGAGCCCAGCAGCAAGCAGCTCCATGGACCCTCGGGCTCTTCTCTGGGGTCTGCGGACCCACCCCAACCCTGAGTGCACTTGCTACACTCCGCGGGTCCCTGGAGCCCAGCCAGACCTCTTCCCACTCAGCAGTGAGCGCCTGTGGCCTCACCAAGGTCCTGCCCATGAGAGGGCAGAGTCTTGGTCATGGACTTGAGTGGGGCCGGGAACAACCGAACAGCAAAAGGGAGTGTGTAAAATCATCACACACAAAAAACACATTCACACCCAAAAGGGCAGATGAGGCACGAGGATGAGACCCTCCAATCGCTGCTTTGGTCAAATATGAAAAAATGGCCTTTGTGCCGCCCCCTAGAAACCTTCAAACATAATCCTCACGTTTACAGGAACCACCAAAAACAAACAAAATATGAGAGGGGTGCCCAGCTGGAGAAAGGGCAACCCTCAGGTCGGCCACGGACCCACAGCGGGAAGATGGGGCTGAGGCCTCCGGCGGGGGTCACTGGTCTTAGGAATAGGCAAAAGGCAGGGAGCAAATGGGATGAATTCTATTTGTCCAGGGAAATAAGGGAGACAGCCCAGAACATGAGACGCTCATCAGTGCCATGTAGGGGAGAGAGCAGCAGCAGCAGCAGAGAGGGAAAGCTCATGCAGGGAATGGAGCAACCCAGAAGCCACTGCAGATTCAACTAACACGCGGCAGGCTTCTGGCTGGTCCATAGGCCAGAACCTGGAAGGAGAGAGCAGGGGGCTTGGGGAAAGGGCTTCTGGCTCCCTGTTCTTTTCAACCCATGGATTCCCCTGAGGAAAACACAGCCCTTCTTTGTGTAGTGGCACATGGGGTCCCACCAAAGGCATAAACTGCCCAGCATAGATATGCTCATTCCAACAGGCAGAAAAGCACAAGGTCAGGGCATGTACATTTGCTTTCACAATACTGGGGGAGAAAGGGTAGGGACATGAGGCTGATAAGCCACAATCCTCACATGCTGCAAACCAACCAACCAGCTAACCAAGCATCCTGGACTGGAAAACACAAGAAACCACATTTACTGCCAGGAACGTCTTTGTCAATACATCTTCAACATGTCCCGCCCTCCGTTTAGAACCAGCACAATATACACGTGTGTCTGTCAGAAGCTGCTTAGGTTTGATGCACTGCAAAATAATTCTGCGTCCAGACCCCTCTCCCAGCCCAGCCCAGCCCAGCCCATTTAATCCGGATGACATCATTAAGTCTACTCAGGAGTTTACTTGTGTATCAACACCACACTTTTAGGGAGTGCTTAGCTCTGCATCTTGACATCAAGGCAGCGATGAGGGGAGGGAGGTGACACAGAGCATTACCTGGAAGGCAGGAACGGGGAAAGCACAATGGTCCATGCATCACTTTTTGGTAAACATTTCCAGATCGTGTGCCCAACAGCGAACATTACTGCCCACGTTGCCTGCTCCACCCCACGATACAACCTAGCCCTACTGGATAAGCTTTTACTTTCCAACAGCTGTCAAGGTTTTAGCTATGAAACCAAACTCTGTGATTAACAAAACAAAGACAGCAGTCAAAGGAAGGCATTTACCACCAAATACTGACGTCAGAAACGAATTTGACAAACTCTAGCTTTCACTCTACCTGAAAACATACAGGAGATGCTGGGCAATATATAAGGAACTAAATCTGACTTAACTGGTTTTGTCCCACAAACAAATTGTTCTTAGAATGAACTGAAAAAAATCAAACCTGCTTTCGGACAATTCCGTTGTAACACAGAAAGACGGCCCTTATGATTCAGTCGTTCTGTCAGCTGGACACTCCTCTACCTGAAATCCGCCAGAACTCAGTAGGGGGCAAAAAACAAACATGAGCTTCTTATAAATTACGGCCTCTCACCATGGACAAAATACTGTCTTAATATACATCCATGAAAAGAGAGAATCACAAGTTGGACTTGTCTTAGGAGAGATAAAGTAAGGAGTGGGGGGACAGATAAACACACTTATCAGGTGGAAGAGCGGAAACTTGTTTTGAACCCAACAACACGAACGCTGCGCACTAATACCGTCAGTGTCAATCATAGCTCTGCCTTCACGACTCTTCGTCTTGTGCTCCACATCTGACGAGGAAAAAAACAGGTCTTGCCTTGTAACTACAACTGAAAGCCAGGGGCCTTTCAGCAAAATCTTTCCAAATCCTCAACTCACAACCTGAACCTCCTGCTGGATGGTGGAACAAGACGGCAATGTAACCAATGGCCTTTGACAGAGAAAAGCAAACTTCCTGCCCAGCCTGCTTGGAACACTCTAAATCCATCCTCCTGTGTGGCAGGCGGCAGGAGCTGCCACGAGCTGAGCCTCTGCTGGTCTGGGTGGAAAGGACCATGGGGGGAAGCAATGCAATGGAGGAGAAAAGGAGGGAAAGAGAGTCGGGGTGTGGGAATGAGGACCAGGTCCCAAACCGATTCTTAATTAGGACGTGGAAGAGGTCACCAAACATCATCGAGTTCCAGTTTCCAAACCTCTTTGCAATCTAGTCCTCACACTTTCTGCTTTCTAGGAACCACCCAGTGATACACAAACCTGGATAAGAAAACAACCTTGGGCACTGAACCTCAAGGCTCACTCAAAGCCCTGCCACCTATCAGTGGGCAGAAGACGCCCCCAGTGGGGCAGGTGGGGGTGGGGGCCACGAGGGGCTCGCAGGCCCCACTCGCAGCTCTGGTGGTTTTAACTGTGAGAGTGAAGGGGAGGGGAAGAAAGCCGCCAGGCAATGAAGAGGTTCACTTTCAAAAGGAAATAGTGCCTCCAGTTCTAACCGGTCTTTAGTTCCCACTTTACTGATTTCTCGAAGTGAGACAGCTATTTCAACCATTTTGCAAATATCAAAAAGGTCACTTGGCAGAAAAAAAAAATCACTTTAAAAACCATTTGTTGTTATAGCCTAAGGAAGCCTGTAAGAGCAGAGTCACTGCGGATTAAACAGCCACTACAGGCTCCTCTCAGGGTCGGGCAGTGAGGGGAAGGGAACGTGCTGGGTGGGGTGCTGGCAGCGGGGCGTCGTGGACACCGTGGTTGGTGGGTGGCTCATGGGTACCATGCTGATCTAAATCCAACTCCTCAGCCTAGTTTTCAGGCATGAGGTCAGTTCCGAAATCTGCACTATTATCTTTCAGGAAGAGGGGCCGTGGGACCCCACTGTGCTTCCATCTCCTATCCCAGGCACTACTGGGCTAATCCTTTTTTGAAAGGAAAAAAAATTGTTCAGTATTTTTTATTGTGTTAAAACAAAATAAAATCTACATAAGGTGGCCGGGTGCGGTGGATCACGAGGTCAGGAGTTCAAGACCAGCCTAGCTAAGATGGTGAAACCCCATCTCTACTGAAAATACAAAAATTAGCTGGGAGTGGTGGCGCATGCTTGTAATCCCAGATAATTGGGAGGCTGAGGCAGAGAACTGCTTGAACCCGGGAGGTAAAGGTTGCAGTGAGCCAAGATCAAGCCACTGCACTCTAGCCTGGGTGACAGAGTGAGACTCCATCTTAAAAAAATACATATATATGTAAGATAAAATTTTGCCATTTTAATCATTTTAAGGGTACAATTCAGTGGCATTAATTCCATTCACAGTATGGTACAACTATCATCATTACCTATTTCCAAAAAGCTTGTCATCACCTCAAATAGAAATCTATCCATTATGGAATAATTCCCACTCCCCTCCCCACTCCCATTCCATGGTAAACTCGAATCTGCTTTCTGTCACCATACATTTGCCCCTTACATATGTTTCACACAACATAAAATCGGACACTATTTGTCCTTTTGTGTCTGGGCCTTGTTTCATTTGGCATGGTGTCTTCAAGGTTCATCCATGCTGTAACATGGGTCCAAATTTCCTCCCTTTTTGTGGCTGAATAATATTCCACTGTATGCTTAGAGCCCATTTTGCTGAGCCGCCCATCTGCTGACGTGCGCTGGGTCGTTTCCAGATCTGGCTCCTATGAACAGCCCTGCTATGAACACTTGCTTTCCTCTGCTTCTGTCCCCACTCCACAGAAACCAAGACCACAGCAGAGGAACAGAGTCCTTGGGGCAGAGGCCGCATTGCTCTGAAGGGCAGAGTAGCCACGGAATAAACAGCCACCACAGGCTGTCCCCCTACACTGCTTCCCAAACCTACTTGGAAAGGATGCCTGTGGCACCTGGCTATGTTTTGAAGTCAGGCCCCTTCCAACACAGACTCTGATTATTTTCCCTCTTGCCTCACTCCTCCTCTGTCAGGCTTGAGAGAGGCGGCAGAGAGAACTGGGAAGGGGAGAGATGGGCCCAAATCCCGGCTTTTCCTCTCACCAGGCAGCGGATTTCAGGGCTCTGAGTTTTCCCTTCTCTGCCTCTACCACAGGGTGCCCACCTGCTCTCTGTGGGGGTTGGGGCTGAGGCAGCTGCACCTGTCACATGGGTGGCCCCAGCAACCGAGCCCTGGTCCCCGTTCCCTTCAGGGCTGACCGATTTTCTCAGGGACTCACTTCCCTGAACCTGTCATCTTTTGTGGCTCCCTCTCAATGGCTATCATGCCGTGCCCCGCCACTGCTGACTTACACACTACCTGGTGGGGAGAAAGGCAGCAGAACCCGCCTGAGCAGCAGCTTCTGCCAACTGAAATTTCACGTGAGCTCAGTACCTGGGCACGAAGATGGAGTTGTGCAGGAAATTCTCAAAGACCTTGCGGTACTCGGCCTCCTCCTTCTCCGCCTGCTTCTCGGCTTCGGTTTTGGGGCAGGCACAGCAAGGCCCTTTCTCTGTGCCACACACCTCAGTCTTGGGGTTCTCTGTGACCTCCTCAACGTCAATGGAGCCGCCAGCGTACTTCCTGATGGGGATTTTGTCTTCTCGGAAAAGAAAAGCCAAAACAAGAGTGGGATGAAAGCTGTTACACATGCCTGTGAGGAAAAATCATAGCGCTCAGCACCTTTCATCAAGAATACAGCCAGTCTTGGCTGGGCACAGTGGCTCATGCCTGTAATCCCAGCACCTTGGGAGGCCAAGGCGGGTGGATCACTTTAGGTCAGGAGTTCGAAACCAGCCTGGACAACATGGTGAAAACCCTGTCCCTACTAAAAATACAAAAATTAGCCGGGCATGGTAGTGCATCTATAATCCCAGCTACTCCAAAGGCCAAGGAATGAGAATTGCTTGAACCCAGGAGGCAGAGGTTGCAGTGAGCTGAGATCATGCCACTGCACTCCAGCCTGGGAAACAGAGGCTCTGTCTCAAAAAAAAAAAAAAAAAGATAGCTGGTCTCCAACAGAGGACTACGATGTTACCTGATACATGTAATATTAGGGATCAGGTACATTCAAACCCTGTGAAGGAAGAGTCATGCCCTCGGTCCAGGCCGCTGCTGCACCTACCTTTGGAGCAGTAATTGTGCCGGTAAAGGTAGCCGTCCTGAGGCTGCTGCTGCCAGCGCACGATGTAGTAGCTCAGGTTGCCGTTGGGCAGAGAGGGCGGGTTCCACTTAACAATTAACTGAGAAGAGGAGTTGGACGCCGAGAGCACATCCAGGGGAATGGAAGGAACTGCAAGGGGGAACAAAGAACATTCCAGAAAATGAAATGAACTGAAGATTCCGGCTATCAGGTACTCTGTGCAAGTCACCACCAGGAAACGGCAAGTTTGACCGGGATAAAAAATAACAATGAACAATGGAATACAAAGGGAAAAGTGAGCCTCACTCTGAAATAGCACCACTTCAAACGCCAGCATTTCCCTTTATGATCTATTTCCCCACGTAATCTCTGCGAAAACAAACATTACTAAGTTGTAAATGGAAAAAGGCTTCGGGCGCACAAGCAGGGTTAGAAGAGACGTGAAAATCAACACCCAATTCAAACACCTGGTATTTCTGATTTATTATCTCTGCTGTTCTCCACAGCGCTGAACTCCAGCCGTTTCGACAACTGGTAAAGTAGACTGACTTGGATTTCATCTGAGATTTCGAATCTCTGATAAAAATGTCACGAAGCCGAAAGGAAAAAGGGGAGTGGAAAGGGGGCTGGAGAGCCTGTGCATGTGAAGGAGTATGTGTGCCCATGTCCCAGCTGTGTGTAAGAGGGATGGGGGTGAGGCAATGCAAAGAACATGGAGTCCACCATTTCCACACACATCCTTCAGTAGGCTGACCGAGGCATGACTCTGAAAAGCAGTCTAAAACTGCAAACGCATGGAAGCCTCATTTCAAGCAAAGGACTCTGTCACTAGCAGAATGAATGCTGATTATAGGCAGAGCACTGTTATCTGATCAAGCTTTAGTTATGCTGACCCCCGAACCCAAATCCAGAGCTGATGTGTGCATAGGGGTCAAATGTATCCTAGGACCACGGAAATCATGTCTTTATTGGGTTTACAAAAAAGTATCAATGTTGACTGCTTTTCCAAAGCGCGGGACACACATTCACTGGATATCACTTAAGCAACATGTTCACCTAAGCCATTTTTAAAACTTGAAAAGAGTGGGCAGCTTGAGGGTGCTCCAGGCTATACAATACACACAAGGTTCTCAACATCTTTAAGGGATGATACTTTGGAAAGCGGTTATGACTAATACTAGGGTTTTCAAAGGAAACATAACCACTTCATGCTCAGACACTTTAGGGTTTCCGAAAATAAAGACTTCAAAAACAAACAGCTCATTCCAAGATGCATTCTTATGATAGGTGTCACAGAAAAAGCAGACGCAGAGGACCAAGTTCTTCTCTGTGTGTAAGGACGGGGGAATAAACGTAGTAAATGGACTCCTTTGTACAGTGCCTGGTTTCCATCTTTGCGGAAAGGAAACAGGTTTCTTGAGAATCTGTCACAATAAGCAGAGATTCCTGTTTTCCAAACGCTACAGTGAGCTGCTGGTCAGGGTTACTTCCACATTTTAAGATGAAAAACTTATTGTGTTGCATTGAGCCTCTGCTACACCAACACACACCCAGGATCAGAAGCCTGTGCCAAATTTATTTGTATCATCACGTTACCCAGTGACATGACTGTGGCCATGCACAGGATCATGGAAATAGGGTAGGAGGGGAGGAAGCAGCAGGAATGCACAGCAAAAGGTTCTCCCCGCCAGCATTTTATCCTCACCTCCTCTCTGCCATTTAAACTCATTTTGTGCTAGCTTGTGAGTATTTAAAAGTACCTTACCCACTAAAATAATGGCTATTATAAAAAAAATGTTTCAGTGCTGTGGACTGAACGCCTGTGTTCCACCCCAAAATTCACAGGTCGAAATCTTAACCCCTAAGATGATGGGATTAGGAGATGTGGCCTTTGGGAGGTGACTGGGTCATGGGGGTGAAGCCCTCATGAATGGAATCTGGGCCCTTCTATGAGAGGCCCTGAAGAGTGCTCTGGCATCCCCACCACCATGCAATGACAATGAAAAGACAGCCATCTATGAGCCAGGGAGTGGGCCCTCTCCAGACACCAAACCCACCAGCACCTTCATCTTGCACTCTGGGACTTCGGAACTGTGAAACATTTCTATTGTTTATAAGCCACCCAGGCTATGCTGTTTTTTGTGACAGAAGCTCCAATGGACTAAAACAATCAGTGTCTTTAAACCTGAAGTGCATTTTCCTACTTCTGAACTAGTTTTTATATACTCAGAAAACACTTATGTTTGCTTTTATTGTTTCCAGATCTGGAGTTGAGAAATGAGGTGGTTCAGAACCTGAAGACAGTGGAAGGAAGGAGGAACATCTTCATCAGTGAAAACTTTGACTATCCACAACATACTACATCTGCCGTCTTTCAACTTTTGCTGACCTCCTTGGAACTCCACAGGCTCCAGAATGACGATGGACACCAGGGAGCTACAGGAAGTAAGTGGAACACAGATCACTTTCGGTTCCTGGAGACTGGAACATCAAAACAAACAAGGAAGAAGGGCAGCCGGAGATGACTGTTTCCTGGCTGGGCCTTCCAATGAAACCAGCCCAGCACCCTGGAGGACCTGGGCTCATAGGCACAGAGCAGGAACGAGATGATGGAAGATGGTACCAAGGCCAGAAGGTGGCACGAAGAGCCTAACATGTTAGAAGTGGGGATATGGGCCAGGCACGGTGGCTCATGCCTGTAATCTAAGCACTTTGGGAGGTGGAGGTGAGCGGATCACCTGAGGTCAGGAGTTCAAGATCAGCCTGTCCAACATGGTAAAACCCCATCTCTACTAAAAATTCAAAAATGAGTCGAGTGTGTCAGGTGCCCGTAGTCCCAGTTACTCTGGAGGCTGAGGCAGGAGAATCGCTTGAACTCGGGAGGCAGAGGTTGCAGTAAGCCAGGATCGCACCACTGCACTCCAACCTAGGAGACAGAGACTCCGTCTCAAAAAAAAAAAATGAATGTAACACAGTATTACCTATTGACGAGAAAGACAACAGCCATAGCTCACTGCTAATCCTACAACAGCACCATGTATAAGCAAGCCCAGTGAGCGGGCGAAGAAGCGTGGATGCTGAGGGCTTGTCTGGGCACAGATACCTGAAGCATTGGTGCGAATGTACAAGATCTCACTCTTGGCCCCACGGATATGGTCGTTCTCCACCATGGTGAGGGTTACAGCCTTGACGTAAACAGCGTACTGAGTCCAGGGCTTCAGCCCATGCAGTAAGACACCGGGCTCCACGTCCTTGTTCTGGGGGAGGTCCACATCCACCATGTTCCAGCTGTTGGAGCCACAGGCGTCCTGCCCATCATACTCCGTGACATTCTTAAAGGGTCTGAAAGACAATCAAGTTCAGAGAAGGTTCAGGGCTCTGACATTCAAACACTCAAAAACCTTCCCCAGAGGCCCAGCATGTCACACGCTCTATAATGGGAGGTTTAAAGAAAGAATCAATTAGACTTAGAAGAAGAAAAGGAAGCGACTGAACTCCGGGCTTCCCCAGTCGTGCACTACAGACTTGAATGCTCTGCCTCAGGAAGAGCCAGTTCAACAGTTACTGGGTTTCACTAGTGACTGCTCCTTAAGAACATATGCAAATACTATTTTTCTCTCTTCTGACTGCAGCATTTTTTTCATCATTAAGAAAAAACAAGCATAGTCAGTTAATGCAAATATCGGATACTGATAAAAGGTAACTGTTAGAGAAAAAATGACTTTCCTACAAACAGAAGTAGCCTCTAAAATTCAAATTGCTCATACACAATTCTGATGCTCAAGCACGTTATAATATTCAGATATTTAGTTTCCAGATTGCCTTAGAAACTAGCATCAAGTCCTTAGTGAAATTACCCGCTGACTTTGCCGAAGCATTGGTGCGACTGTGAAAGGGAACACAGTGTTTTACACAGATGCATGGCTGGGTAGATGCTTTACATCTATCAGATAAAAGGGCTGGGCAGCTGCTGGCCACTGGCTTCTGAAACAAACATTAACAAATCTATACCTGCTATCATGATGGGAGGTCACGAGGGGCTCCCCTATGTACAAATCCTGAAAGCCTAGAAATCCTCATATCCCATTTCTCATCCATAGGACCCCAGCTCTGGCAGAAGAGAGTATAAGATGCCGTCATAAGGTGCCTCTGCTTTCTGCTCTTGGGAAGCCACGTACCTGGCTTCCCAAGAGCAGAACTATGGGATTAAGATGGGACCCGGGTAAGGTGGATGGCTAACTAGACCGGGGTAGCCACCTGGATACAGGATGCAATGGAAGGAAGAGGAGGAACAGAGAGCTGCCGTCGGAAGGAATGAGCCTTGGTTGCTTAGGTGGGTGAATGTCATGTGGTCGCACAAGAAAAGCTCCCAACAGAGTCTGGGAGAAGTCACAAAAAGCTCAAGAAATGATGGCTGTTCTCTCTCCACTTTCCTTCGCTTGTTTGGGAGGCTCATGACCTGGAACGGAGGGCCTCAGCTTGGGAGAGGCACAGAGAGAGAGAGACAGGAATAAGATGAGCCATGGGTCACCTCGGTAGAGCCATGTGGCTGCAGGGTGTTCCTAGAGTAGGGCTAGTGGGTAAGGAGGCTGAAACAATATTTCAGTGAAGTCCCCTGTCATCGATTATGAGTCTGGTCTGACCTAATTCTGGAAAAAAACAAGCTTTCCCCACTTTGGGTTTATTTTATTCAAACATCTCTAATCACTTACTAAAGAATGACAGGCCTCAAAGCTAACACTTTCCCATTGGTGGCTGTCACTGGCTGTTACTCACATCATGGGGACAGCCCAGGAGGGCGCATGAGATGAAGTGGGGATGCTTGGCATGGCTCTCCCTGGGGACCCTGCTGACTCCCCGCATTCAGCCAACCCCTGCAAGGACCAAAAGACTGGCCTCTCCCACTCGCAGCCCTGTCAACAGAATGGCATCACCCAAAGCAGAAACTCACGCTTCCTTGTAGAAGACGGTGAAACTGATGAGATCCCTGTAGTCGGGGGGCCGGTACCGGTGCCAGGTTATGATGACGCGATTCTTCCACGTTGTGGTGGAGGTGAAATGCAGGACATCACTTTCACCTGGAGCACAGAGGACATCCGCGAGTGACAGAGATTTATGTGTCTCTAAAAGCACCTGTCTTGCTCAGCACTACTTCCCCCTTCCCCAAAGCTGGTTATATGTGCTAAGTTCCCTTCTGGACTTCGTAGGTGGCTTTCTCGTTTTCCACTAAGAACTCATACATTTCACTATGCAGAGCTCCAGGGGTTCCGTTCTTTGTTTTGGGTCAATCAGTTGTACTGGCTACTTGCCCAGGGCCCTGGATATGAACCTGGTTTTCCTAACCTGAAAACAGAGTGACTTCAGTGAATGAGGTGAACTTATATTTCTTTTCCATCCCTGAAAAAGGGATGGCTAAAGATCCTGGCTACAAAAGGGGGCCTGGTAGAGTAAGGGTGAACCTTTAGGCTGCCCTGAATCTTCTCAGAGAGATGACGGCACCTGTTCTGCGGTTGAGGGTATCTGCTTGCTCTTATACAATCAGTAAAGGCAGGGAAGAGACCACAGGTGTGCCATGGAAAGGAACTTTGCTTGGTCTAAACTTGGTATCAAACTGGAAAGACACAGGAACTCCTGTGTGGCCTCCAGTGAAGGCTGACAAACAACAGGATGGGGGGCACAAGTGGGGGCTGGATTAAGCAATGACAATTTCACTTGGACAAGCCTAATGTGCTCTATGGGAAATAGACCTGGCTGGCAAGTATGGCAGGGAAGCTGTGCCAAGTACCTCTCTTATTCCTTGGACCAAATTCAAACTTTGATAAGGACAAGGAAAAGATTGATGACTGCCTACCCTCGTGGAGACCCAAAGCTCTCTGATGAGCTGTCCTTTCGACACCGTATCTGCCCGAATCCCACTACGCACTCAAGAGGTGAAGTAGAGAGACTGAAGACAGGAAAAGAGCTAAGAAGTCTCTAGGGCAAAATGTGCGCAACTGAGATTGGAAAATGTCACAGTTCCTGCCGAAGCGTTATTTCGAAAGGAAACCATGATTTTGCTTTCAAAAGAAAATAAATGGCTACTGTATTTATGACCTGACAGGTGAGACTGGCTAACTTGAAGGAGAAAAGCCCTCTAAAATGCTCTGACACGTCCGCTTTTACTATGGTCTGAACAGGGGGCAGGGCAGGGGCTTTGCAGGGACAGAGTGGGCAGGGGGAGGGAGGTGGCGCTGGCCATAAGCCTGCTGTCTAGCCCTAGGCCAGCACGCTTCCCTCTAAGATCCCCCAGAGCAATGAATGTCACCAGGTAAATCCAGACACCAGCAAAACAGGCCAAAGCCACACACACATCAGTTCCAATTTGCCTTTCTGCAATGTGTGTCTGCGCACACACGCACCAATCACTCTTCATCATACAAATTACATTTTTTTTTACCTTTCCCTTATTAAAAGCCAAAGGTGAAGAGACGATTTACTTTTATAACCCTGTCCAACCAAAGAGCCACACCATTCTCAGCAGCCGTATTCTACACAGCGTTAGATGAGAAACGCGTGCACTGCCGTATCTCTGGCATGAGACCTTAAAGTTTTATAACCAGTACAAGGCTATACTTATATTGTTCTAAACTTAAAAAACATTATTGACTCAGGGATGCAGGCTTGCTCCGTCTTTTTCACATTGAGGTGGGAGAAAAGAGGCGGCTGGGTGTAAGGGACAGGATAGCCGTGGCCCACAGGGGCTCAGAGTCCCCTCCACCCCAGGGGCCTGGACTTTCCTGCTGTGGAAGGGGGAAGATAGAGCTCACAGGGCTGGAGCACACTGGCTCTTCCCTGAAAAATAATTGGACCGGGCATGGTGGCTGATGCCTGTAATCCCAGCACGTGGGGAGGCTGAGGCAGGTGGATCACTTGAGGTCAGGAGTTTGAGACCAGCCTTGCTAACATGGTGAAACCGTGTCTCTAAACCGTGTCACTAAAAATACAAAAATTAGCTGGGCGTGGTGGCGGGTGTCTGTAATCCCAGCTACTCAGGAGGCTGAGGCATGAGAATCGCTTGAACCCAGGAGTTGGAGGTTACAGTGAGCCCAGATCATGCCATTGCTCCCCAGCCTGAGTGACACAGTGAGACTCCATTTCAGAAAATAAAGAAATAATCTAACCATACACCTGTGTATAAAAGGACATTTAACTGTGCATTCTGTAAGCAGCCTTCACAGTTTGAGAACCTACTTATAAGCAGCCTTCACAGTTTGAGAACCTACTTATAAGTGTTGAACACACTCACAGATGCACAGAATTTATAAACATGCATACATCATGTATCTGCCCACTACTGATTTTGAAGACATGTAAGTAGGAGCAAAGTGCTAGTTAAGGTGATCCAGTGGTCCCCCAAGTGAAACACGGAGGGGCCACAGAGGAAAGCTGCTGTCACCCAGGGAGGAGGGCCTGCTGTGATCATGATGGTGGGGCCCACGGTGTTTTGGATGCTGTCACTCACAGGAGGCTCTCTCTCCATTGTTCCTGGTGTTTATGTCCCCTTTGTTTTGGCGCCCTTTAGTCCCCGTCACTTCTTCCATGCGGTAAATTTCAGAAACACATAATTTCGGATTGAAAGCGAAGTACATCTTCCCCGAACGGATGGTCAGGTTGTGGTGGTCCCAGTCCCATAGTTGCTGCAAATTCTGGTTGTCGAGGACATAGAAGGAGTAATTCCTAGAAGCACAGAAATTGATGTTAGTGCACCTGCCCTTGGCCACATTCCCCTCTAGCCTGCTGGACACATAACACAGGTCCTCTTTGCCACCTGCTCCACAATGCATTTCCTTTGCCAATAAGAGGTTTGGTTATTAACACTACAGGAGAACAGATAATCGCTGTTAACAATGGCAACAGCATGATTCAAGGACAACATATCGAAATCGATATGACACTAATTAATTTTATGACCTCTATTACCATCAAATAATGCTTCTTGTACCAGAAGATGTTACTAGAATCATTCCCGAGAAATGCCTTTGGTTATTTTTCTTAGCCAAGTACGCACAACATGCTTGACAGCAGTGCATGGGAGGACAGATACGCTCTGCTACCCAACTGGAACAGCGTACACATTTGCTGTAAAGTCTCTCATTATCCATGGAAGCAAATCCTGCCCAGGCCCAATCAGCAGGGATAGGAGACAGCATTTGACAGGGAGACAGGCTTGTCGGGGGTCGACCCTAGGCCTTCTCCCTCCTCCCAATTCATCTTTCACTCTGAGGAGCCCCAGCTCTAGTCCCTGGAGAAAGTGCAGGGGAGGAGGAACAGCCGCCAATGGGCAGTGCCCTCGGGCCTCCCGTGCAGGCAAGAGGACTCGGTGTCCAACACAGTAGTTCTCCAAGTTCAGTGTGCACAAAGCTTGTTTGCAAAGTGCTGGGCCCCACCCCCAGAGCTTCTGATTCAGCTGGGGTGGGCTGAGAATCTGCATTTATCGCAAATGCTAAGTGGTGCTGACCCCTGCTGTGGTCCCCGGACCACACCTGAAGAACCACTGATCTAGGAGAGGCTGAGTTCCAGTGAGGTGCTGGAGGACCAAAGCAACCAAACCAGATGTGGCTTCTGCCCCAGAGGGTGTACACACAAGCAGCAGATCCAACCAGCATGGGAAGCAGTTCTATGTGGCTCCCCAGGTGGCAGAAGCCCATCCCTGGGAAGGCAAGAAAGCAGACAGCTACAGCTTGGATCTGGAGAAAGATCCCTGCAGTGGGCCTTTCTCTCTGGCTTCCCTAGGAAGCCAGCAGACAATGCCAGGGTGGGTAGTCTGAGTCCTCTGTGCTCATGGGCCTGATCTCCATGGACCATGAATCCTTCCTTTTTTCTTCCTGCTCTGCTTCTTACTAAATTTAGGCATCAGGGCAGTACTTTGAGTGATTGCTAAGATTCACTAGCAGATCTAATGCATAAACACACAAAGGAAAACAGACCTCAGCCCTCCCTGCATTGCCAGGACAAAACAGAACCCCTAAGCCTTCCTCTGTCCCGGAGGCTGTCTCCATCGGAGATCTCTCTGTACTTGGTGAGGGTCTTCATTTATACCCAGATGAGGACCTCCAACCAGCTGGTCAATCCTCAGCCTGACCCTCATTTAGAGTGAAGCACGTCATGGCTGCAATGCTGCCAAGCAGCCCTGTGACATTTTCCTGAACATTCACAAAGGGAGGTCAGCCCAGGAGGAAGTTCAGAGACTGGGACCCAGGACCAAAAATGCCATCAAGAAGCTGTGCAGCCATGTGCAGTCCCCTTAGCGCTATTTGTAGCCCTGTTTACTCCCTCGTAGGGCAACCGGGGGAATGCACAGTTGACATCTAAGCTCCTTGTCTACTTTCAGAAGGCCCAGAAGGAGTCGCAGAGCTGCCATGGAATCCATCCCGTGAGCCTGAAGCCCAACCTTCCCTGAGCACGGGGCTCTCTGTCCACACAAGTGAGTTGAAAGACAGCGCCTCTGAAGCTAAGTCAAATTCCTCACGAGCCCATCTTTAGGCCTCTGGACACAATAGCGGCCACCAAACCAGTAGCAAAAACTTGCGAGTCAACAATCCTTTCTTTTCAGTAAGGGCTCACTCCTAACACACAGATACCCTGGAAAAGCAGCGTAAGACATTGTCCACATGACCCCAGATCTGCTCAATGCAACGCAAGGCGTGTTTCTGGGGGTTGGTGGCAGTGCTGAGATACGGCCCAGTTAGCTGTACTGTTGCTGGGGGTAGGCCCCTCCACACCTGCTCTTTCCCAGCGCCAGGCTGCAGGTGACTCTGCTGGAGCAGAAGGGCTCCGTGCAGCCATGTAACTGAAGGAGGCCTGGGGCAGAAATGGATGTGTCCTATCATAAACCCATTCTTGCTCATGGAGTTTCTCCAACTCCAAAAGACACTTTGCAGTGATGCACCCCAAGTGTCAGGCCACTTCCGGGTACCTGACTTAGCGTTAGGGGACAAAATCTCCTTGTTGGTGAGGACACCTCTGGGCTGCCGGTAAGGACCAACTGATCAGGCCAATCTTCCATCAGTATCCAGAACGAGGCCTCTTTCAGTAAACTAACCTCACTAGCGGGGAATAGAACCACACTGAAAATACCTTCTGAACAAAACATTCTTCTCCCCATGGGAGGAAGCACGAATTATAAATCAGGAATTTGACAAATGAATGGCAAGCACACTGAAATTCTATGTATCTGACTAATCACTTTGAAAAGCAAGATTGTATTTTTACAGTAAACACAAACATTTTTTACAATCATTGAAGAGGCTGGGAGCCAGGATACCAGTATCAATAAAACCCAGGCAACATGGAGCCTGTGGAAGCTAAAGAAAAATAAAAATAAAACCCTTGTCAAAATAATCATCAAGCCATTCATGAGCTGCCTGTCAATACCATGCTTGTTTTTCCAGCCGCAGCTTGGGGCCAGGCTCCCCGCTAAATTCCTTCCATGATTAGGTGAGAATTAAGAGATGGTAAAAGGCAGAGACCTGTCTGCACATCTTCAAAATATGTATACACTAAAGTTATCACTGTTTCCTAAAGGGAATGACTGCTTAGGTAAATTACTCAGTAAATGTCATTTCCTAATTGTTTCTAAGCTTACTGCCTTTACATTCAAGGAATACTTTTAAAAATAAAGTTTCTTTTTCCTTTGTTTTTTGAGACATGGTCTCACTCTGTCACCCAGGCTGGAGTCCAGCAGCGCAATGACAGATCACTGAAACCTCGACCTCCCAGGCTCAAGCTATGCTCCTACCTCAGCCCGCCAAGTAGCTGGGACCACAGGTATGTTCCCACCATGCTCAGTTAATGTTTTGGTTTTTTGTTTGTTTCTTTTTAAGAGATGGGATCTCACTATGTTGCCCTGGTTGGTCTTGAACTCCTGGACTCAAGCAATCCCTTGCCTCAGTTTCCCAAAGTGCTGGGATTACAGTTGTGAGCCACTGTGCCTGACCAGTTACTTATTTTTCTTTAGCTTCCATATGCTCTATGATATCCAGATTTTATTGATATTGCTATTCTGGTTCTCAGCCTTCGCTATGTTGTTCAAAAAAAAAAAAAAAGTTTGTTTCTACACTTGGGTAGGCCCTATTTCCCAATCTGTAGCCCACACGGGATGGGAGCAGTTGGTTATCTTCCTGAGGGCACCTCTATGTTATCTCTATAGATATTTGAAGATAGCCCCAGGTACAGGGTTCAGAGCATTCCATCCAGGAACCCAAAGGTCAGGTCTGAGCCTCATCTCTAGCACTTACTGAGGAACAACTCTGGGCAAAAGATTTATTCATCTCTCCCAGGCTGGAGTCTCTCAGCTGCAAACTGGGGATATCTTCCCTGCTTTTCTGGCCCTGAGGCCACACGGAAGAATTGGATGGGCTGAACATAAAAGGATACCGTGAGCTTTTAATCACCCCACAGAAGTGCCGGATGACCTGTGCTACTCTCTGAAGTGAGAAAGTCCCCTGGAACAAAGTCTCAGAACAGAAAGGTCCTGTGCCTTGATAAACGGAGCTGAACCCGAGGTCTCCAGCCTACAGAGGTAGGAAGGGACAGTTTCCCTATTTTTAGTGCTTGCTGACATATTGAAAACAATTCTGCAATTATATAACCACTCATTCCAGTTCGTTTCTCAGAAGAGAAAATTGCCTCTTCACGGCTGTCTCTAGGGGGCATCAGAACCCAGCACACAGGCTGTCCTCGGCAACAGAGCCATCTGCAACTGATAGAGTGGCCTTTGTTGCCTTTCTGCAGATGCTCCCACTAACCCATTCGCAAACAGGCTAGTGTATATCCATCCATTCTCCCCCGAATCCAACATTTATATCAACCTTAGGGATTCACCAAGGGTGGGAATGTCTACCCAGGTGGAACCAGGCACCAAACAGATACCCAGAAAATGTTTCCTCTTTGTTAGGTGTTTCTTAAAAATAGCTTTGCTTCTGAAGTATAATCTACCTAACAAAAATTCACCCATCATTCCATGAGCTTCAGCAAATTCACACAACTGTGCAACCATCAACACTACTCAGTTTCAGAACATTCCATCACCCAAGAGTTCCCTCATTCCCGATTAGAGTCAATCTCCACTTCTTATCCCTGGTCTGCTTTCTGTGTCCACAGTTTTGCCTTTTCTGCAAATTACATGTTAATGAGTCATACAATACATAGGCTTTTGTGTCTGGATTTTTTATTTTCACTTAGCCTAACGTTTTAGAGGTTCACCCGTGTGTCATACTTCACACCTTTTTATTGTTCCACGTGTCATACTTCATGCCTTTTTACTGTTGAGTAGTCCGTTGTCCTTTGGGCCATATTTTGTGTATCCATTTATCTGCTTATCCATTCATCTGTTGATTAACATTTGAATGGTTTCCGGTGGGCCTTCTTTTTGGCCTGGCGGTTGGGGGAGGGCAGGCTATTATGAGTAATATTGCTACGAACATTCATACGCAAGTCTTGTGTGGACATGTCTTCATTTCTCTTGGGTAGATCCTGGAATTGCTGGGTCACAGGGTTGAGTGTATATTTTCAAAAAGTCCCAGTGAAAGGTTAGAGTGGCCATGTTTCAGCCTCACCTTAGAGCTCCAAGAAGGAATTCCAAAGCACTGTGTGTGCTGCAAAGTCTAGTGGTAGGGGCCAAAGCAGAGCGACACCTAGGGCCTAAGTCGACCTGCGAGTTTCAATTCTTTCAACTTACCACCCTCCATCTACTTTTGCCTTCTTCTTTTCAAGGCAACAATCCTTGGTAGTACCAAAGAATGTGAAAGGTCAACTCCTTAGTTACCAGATGCCATCAGGAAACAAGGTTGCCCAAACAAGGGGATTTTCCAGATAGTGGAAATACTCTCTTATTCAAGAGCTTAAAAATTAGCTATTTTATAAAAATCGTGTACATGTGGATTACAAATGTCAGAGAGGCCTTGATTGTCTTAATGTCTAGGGTCATTACTCTAGAAATACACCCCAGTGGTGTCCTTGAGGAAACCATAGCTATTGCTTTTGCAAGTGGGTTACAAAATCAGCTCACACTGAGTGTGATATAAAAGTAAACAGGCTCGGAGTGAGGAGTAAGAGCGCTAATCTAGGTAAAATGCTTGAATTTTCTGTTCTGGATGGCTCAAAAGACCTTTTGAGAGGGATCTCAGTGACATTTTTGGAAAGCCATGGTTGTCAGAGTCGAAGGATCTTTGTACCTTGAATTGTTCTGTTTTTCATCAAAACCAAAAGGCTACAGAACTTTCATCCTATTGAACCAAAAGGAGACACTTATTTATGTTATCATTGACTGTAAAAGAGGTTTAAGAAGGCCAGGCACGGCGGCTCATGCCTGTAATCCCAGCACTTTGGGAGGCTGAAATGGGCAGATCACGAGGTTAGGAGTGCAAGACCAGCCTGACCAATATGGTGAAACCCTGTCTCTACTAAAAATACAAAAATTAGCTGGGCGTGGTGACATGCACCTGTAATCCCAGCTACTTGGAGAGGCTGAGGCAGGAGAATCGCTTGAACCCAGGAGGCACAGGTTGCAGTGAGCCGAGATCACGCCACTGCACTGCAGCCTGGGCAAGAAGAGTTAAACTCTGTCTCAAAAAAAAAAAGAGGTTCACGAAAATAGTATGACATATGTAACAACATGGGTGAACCTCTCAAACATTAGGCAGCAGTGTGAGGAGAAAATAGGAAAAAGACATCAAAGTGCTTTGAGGTCTGCACATGAAGACATGAAGGGATAAAGCAGTGGTTTCCAATCACTGCTGCCTGCTGAAAGGCCTAGGGATCTTTAGATGAGCACCGATGCCCAGATCCTAGCCCCAAATGCTCCTACTGAATTGGGGTTGGGGTGCTTCCTCCGACATCAGGATTTCTCAACCCCACACCCGCCCATGCTCCCAGTGATTCCATAATGTGTAGCGAAGTTTGAGAAACGCTGGGATAAAAGCTATCTTGGCTTAAACCAAAGCATCCCGAAATAAAAACTGCAGACAGCTCTGCTAATGCTCCTCTATTCAAAAGCCTTGAATACATTCCATGGTCTACCTAAATTATAACCCTCTACACCTGGGTGCAAAACAGCTTAGGTAACTCTAGTGCCACCCACCTCTCCAGCATTAGTTGCCCAACAGGCCCCAGGATGCCCCAACTCGCTGCCTTTGCACCTGCCACCCTGCCTGGAATTGCCTTTCTTCACTTCAACCCTCTGCTTTCCCCAAGCTTGTCCTGAAAGCCTTCAAGGCCCATCTCAAATGCCACCTCTTGTCAGAAGCCTGTCTGATCTTCTCAGTCATAGCTGGCTCTTCTCCATGCCTAGGGCACATTTCTTTCCTTCCCTTTTATCACTGTGCCAGTTCTGCTTTGTGCTGCTGATGTTTATCTGTCTAGCGTATCCCATCCTCTTTCTCCCTCTGAATCTTCCCTCCTTGCAGAAGTGAGGGCAGCCAGTGAAGGAGCCAGACCTAACTCCGTCCCTGAGTCTAAGGAGAAATGAAGAGCTGAGCTGCTGCTACCGGTCACACCTGAAGCGAACAGGGCTCTTTGGGAGCTCATCATCATAAAGACGGGCTATACCTTTTTGGTCATGGGCCAGGAGGGCAGGGCGAGAGAAAACAGCTCCCATCAAGAGGTGAAAGATTCTTAAGAGCCCTAACTCAAGAGAGAGCCTCTGAGAAGCAGCATGCAGGAATGGAAGGCTGCAGCCAACATCCTTGGGGCTGCTGGGCGATTAGGGAGCAGCAGCAGAGAAAACCCAAGGCTCACGTGCCCTTCCCCAGCATCTAAAATGCTAACAGCAGGCCAGGGGCCCAAGCTTACCTGGACAGCCTCCCAAACACCTGAGTGGAAAGCACCCATCCCTAAAAAGACTTTGCTGATACTTCAGGTTTTATGCAAGTTTCAGATAATGAGAAAGACATCATAAATATTTTTGCAAATACAAATCAGGGTTTAATTTCTAGCTACATTTAAGTGCATAATACTTAGTTGACACTCCATGAAAAGGTAATCACGTAAGAATTCCTAATAGAAATTAATTAAACTCTCCTCTCAGCATTCACCTCTGTGCCTATCATTTGCTTAGTATGGAAAAAAAAGGTATATCGTTAAGCAACAGGAATATCTGACAGCTACTAATCACCGACACCCAGGATTCCAGAAACACAAACCTACTTAGTAAAAAAAAAAAAAAAGGCAGAGAAAAAATTCATTTACAAATTTAATACAACAAACATCATCATCACCTTAAAGTGGTAGCACCTCAGCTTGCCAGGTAAGTGACTGAGAGGCTGGGGCTGGGCGCAGTGGCAACCTCCTTCAGTTTGCAATGAGAAAGAAGTTTTTCAAGGATTGGTGTTCCCAGTGGGGAGGACACTATGCTTTTCAAGCATGGAATGAAGAGCTGCCACCTCTCATTAGCTGTATCAGATGATGGAATTTTAAGAATTTAAGACTGACCAAGAGTTCGTCTGAGAAAAACAGGGAGGCTATAAAGAAACCCTTATGCAGTAACTTTATCCAGTTGGGGCAGAAAAATCAGCAAGGACAACCTTTCCCATGACCTTCTCGCCTCAAATTATTTCCCCACGTTCTCTTTAGAACGAATTCACTCCTTAATGGATAACTCCTTTTATTTCAAAGCATTTGCGTAAAGCCAGGCAAGAGCCGTATTTAAAAGGGAGAGTTTCAAGAGAAAAGTCCACATGCAAAGGTACACAGGCTGGCGGCTGGAAAGCAACTGTGCATGCAATGAGCACCGGCTCCTATCCTCCAGTGAAAAGCCCATGGTTATGTTAAACCCCCTATCACAAAGCAGGCCTGTGCCAAGGCAAAAATTCTATCAATAGCGCAAATCCTATACACTAATCAATACAAACAATCTTGTGAATCCAGATTTCTTTATAACAAAACGAACCGTCCATACGCCTCCAATGCTCTCAGTTCAAATACTTTAAAAGATGGAGTAGCCGTGCGTAGTGGAGTACAGCATCCGGAGGCAGATGAGGGTCAGGCAAATGATGATTTCACAGGGAGATGAGCACTCCAGCCCAACTGCTGTCGCCCTTGGCAGAAAAGCCCCACGAGTACCCCCGCTGCCGTCTCACTGGTCACAGTCAGACATGCAACCCTTGCCTAATGAGGCACAATCCAGTAAGGGTGAGAACCTCTCTGTTTTCCAAAACAGCAGCCTTCTAAGAACAGAGAATCATGACTCTACCCAAGACCCACTGGAGCAGCACAGGCAACACCGCAGCTGCTGCTTCTATTTAACAAGGCAGGGAGGGCTCTTACCTCAGCAGTACAATTTTACAAGCACGCTGCTCACTTTGTAACAGGAGAACGTCCACTCATGAAATGTGGGGCACTTACCCTTCTAGCTGGTCCTCTCCTAAGATGAGGCGAAGGTTTTTTAGGAAGGACAAGGAGACCAAGGCATGGGAATGGCGGATCTTCACGTAGCCCGTCACCACCTCGATGAGCCCCATGAAGTTCTCCAATTCTGAAGCAATGTTATCTACATTGAAAGGGGGTCATGTCACTGCGGGCTCACTTGGTGTGAGGGTGACATACTTGGATTCTTACAAATACATGTGAGAACAATTCAATGGCAGGCGCCCACTGAGATACTCAGGCTCCCGGCATGGGACTGGCCATGCCTGGACAAAAACAGCTTCCCTGGCTTGACTCTCAACAACCACTCTGGGAACAAGGCCTCCCAGGTAGGGGAAGCAAGCGTCTAGGAGGCTGGGGGACACCGCAGCTCCCAAGCTGATTAACAAAATGTAAAATCAGGCCGGGTGCAGTGGCTCACCACTTATAATCCCAGCACTTTGGGGAAGCAAAGGTCAGCAAATCACGAGGTCAGGAGTTCCAGACCAGCCTTCCCAATATGGTGAAACCCCGTTTCTACTAAAAAATACAAAAATTAGCCAGGTGTGGTGGCACACACCTTTGGTTCCAGCTACTCAGGAGGCAGAGGCAAGAGAATCACCTGAACCTGGGAGGCGAGGTTGCAGTGAGCGGAGATTTATGCCACTGCACTCTAGCCTGAGCGACACAGCGAGACTCTGTCTCAAAAAAAAAAAAGTAAAATCATAAATACAAGATTGCCAGTTAGCTACGGCTGACAAATGTAGGGAACGTCTTTTAATATGCTCTGTCAACAGACAGTATGGCCTCCACAGTACAAGGGCATGACTAAATCAACATTTTCTCCGTCTCATTAGGAACTGCCTTTGCTGCCTTTCTAATTCCTAAGATACAGGCGTCTGTATTTAAAGGTTCCTTTTTACTACAACTAGAAGAAAATATACCAAAATGTTAACAATAGCTGTCTGTGGGTGATTTTTAAAAATTCTTTTCTGCATTGCTAAGTTCTCTGTAATATGTATGTATTGCTTTTATAACTAGAAAGTCGTTGGAAAAATAGGTGCTAATACAGATGTACAAACATAACATGTAAGCAACAGGTTTCCTTTCATCTTGTTTAGGCTACCTTTTCCTCATAGTAAATAAAAAAGAATTCAGTTCAACTAATGCCAAAATTATAATGAAGACTATAATAACTGGTCTTGGTTCAATTAATGAGATTTTACTGTATATGATTTCTAAAGACGTGTTTAATAAAAGGCTCCATTTTGCTTTGAACTGATAAAAATAAAATAATAAGGGTACTAAAGGATAAAGCCCTGCATCTAACTTAATGTAATGGCTTGCCAATCAAAATTAAAGGGAAATTCAAGTTAGAAAGATGAGGGGTTGTGTGCAGCTGATGTTTTAAGGAAGAGATCCTGAATTTTAAATGTGGGGCAGGAAGCATGCCTCTTAGTCAAGATCAGGAAATCTCCCCTCTAATGAGATCTCTCATCTTCCTAAATCCAATCCATTTCCTGCATTGGACATAAACCGGAAGACACACTTCATCATCATGTACGAATATGTACCGATTCTTTCACAAATGATACTTCTCCGTGGATTTAATTCACAGATTAAAATTTTATCTTCAGAACAGGAAGATAAAAGAGTTTAGGCACTCAAAAGGTATGCTCTAGGGATAAGCAAATTAAAAGTAGAAGAAGAAATGCAGACACAGCAAAAAGAATTAAACTTCGGAAGCACTGAGAGTAAGGAAGCCCTAGAGAGGAAGGAACAGAATTATCTTCATGTGGAGAGATGGGAGTGGGTGGTGTTGTGAAAAACAATATGAGATATCAAAAAATTCAGAAGAACTAAGCAAAAACTTGTTTCTGTCCTTTCTAAACCTTAAGAATACAATTTACATTAACAAATATGAAGGAAAAGCAAATTATCAGAATAAATTAGTCATTTTCCCCCTCACACTGCAAAAAAATTCTTCATGAAAAGATTTCCCCCAAAATTCCTGTCAACCTCAAAGCCGTTTTACTCTATTTATTCTAGCTTATAAAATTATCAGTACCTTGACCAAGTGATCCCAGTGGCAGAGAATTTAAGGCACTGTTACTAGAAATCCTTGGCAGTTAAAAACCAGAAGTAAAAAGATTTTTAAAATTAGCCATGGCTTGGCATTGTGGAGCACGCCTGTAATCCCAGCACTCTGGGAGGCCGAGGCAGGTGGATCACAAGATCAAGAGGTTGAGATCATCCTGGCTGACATGGTGAAACCCCATCTCTACAAAAATACAAAAATTAGCTGGGTGTGGTGGCACACACCTGTAGTCCCAGCTACTCGGGAGGCTGAGGCAGGAAAATCACTTGAATCTGGGAGGCCAAGGTTGCAGTGAGCCGAGATCATGCCACTGCACTCCAGCCTGGGCGACAGAGCAAGATTTTGTTAAAAAAGAAAAAAAAAAAAAAATTAGCCAGGCCATGGTGGAGAGTGCCTGTGGTCCCAGCAACATGGGAAGCTGAGGCAGAAAGACTGTTTGAGACCAGGAGTTCCAGGTTATAGTGAGCTATGGCTGTGCCATTGGACTCTAGCCTGGGTAACACAGTGAGACCGTGTCTCAAAAAAAAAAACCAAAAAACACACACACAAAAACCAAAGAAGTGAAGAGATCACAGGCTAAGTCAGTGGGAATCCCTTTGCACAATCCAGCTTAGAAACAACTTACCAGGAATGCCATCTACTGCAAATAAAGATCATTGTACACAGGTGAGACTGAAGCTTTATGTACACAATGACACATACTTGTATCCTTTGTCTCTCACAAGTAAATTTGGAAATCTAGCACTCTTTTGGACTTCATAAAATTTTAACGTGATATCACTAAACTTCCCTCAGTCTTCTCACTAAATTCAAGTAATCAAAACTCGTTAGGCTTGAAAGATGTGTGGATTTGGATACAGCCGGTCCCTGCTGAGTCACAACTCTGATCCAATGGTTTCTTCCGGGGTATGTATGTGTCAGGGCTTGCCTCTCCCATGCATGACGTGACTAACAGAAAAATGAGTGATGACCCTCTTTACAGGAAGAAAGGATGTGCCAATGGCTAAAAAACACTGCCTTTCAATCTGTTTTTATCTTTGAGGAGCAACTCAAAGAAGAGACGTCACGCATGAGGCTTACACACCACGTTGTTTATCTAAGCCCATATTTTAGTGGTGACTCAGGTTCGGAAGCATGAAAAGCATCAAGAAAAGAAAGCCATAAGATCTAGCCATTTTTCCAGTGGGATGGAGTACTTACTCCCTCGTCGGATGTTAATGAGCAAATTGCCCTTGAAGATGGTGCATCCTTGAAGCATCTGAGCAGAAGTAACAGAATCAATGGACTTTGCCATCTGTTCATCACAGACCTTGGGGCAAGGACCTTTACAAGGGATGCACTGCATGCTGTTGAAGAAAAAAAACACCACAATCAAAAACACACATAATTAAGTCTGTCTTCTTGCATTACAAAAATCCTAAGGATATGCTTTTTAGTTGTTATTACAACATGCATTAGAAAAAGGAACTGTTTTGAAGTGTTCACCTGGTCACATGGTATCTCATCCTCAAGCCCACCCAAGATAAGCCACTCAAATTGCAACCAAAAGGAGAAAGAGCCTACAACGGAAGAGCGCGTTGCTTGCTCCAGACAAAATACATGATGCATCCTCGAGGCATTTGTGTATCATAGGCTGTTGACTGGTGAGCCAGCTGGTTCCATGTGGGAGAGAGAATGCTGCAGCAAGGAAGCTCTGGGGGATCTGGAGGAAAACAGAGCTGCTTTCTGATATTGTGACTCTGGCCTGTGCACTTGGGGGAGTAGCTAGGAGAGATGATAGGGACAGCAAAGGGACTGTCATGTGTTTGCCTAAGGGGAGTCTAGCTCCTGAAGTCAGTGTTTCGGCAAAGCCCAGCGCGGGATGCCAAAAGGCATGTGATATAGCACAGATCCATTATTTTCTTGCTAAAGCACAACTCAAATTATTTCTTGACAGTGTTTTGCAGAAACTTGTAAATTGATCCAAATGTTGTTTGCACTGTATACACAATAAAAGCAAGAGATTTTCATTACTTTGTAACGAGCTCTTGTTCAAATGCTATCCTGAACATGCCACAAACCACCAAGAGTCAGGGACAAGTAGGACTGGCACTTTCCCTGCTTACCTACCAGTATTTAGGAAATAGCAGACAAAATGCTAACCCAGCAGCTGAACCTTTGGCATCTATAGTTATATACAGAACAAGGGTCAGAAAGTCAGATCGCTTTCCAAACAAGACAAATGACATGACCTTATGCGATGCGTATGTAATAGGATGGTAAGTTGTGGAGCCATTATATGTACATTATTGTTCTTAAATCATCTCTTAAATTTCATGAAGAGGAGTAGAAACATTCAAGAAAAACAGTGTGAGGTATAGCTCTTTTTATTAATTTCCCTTCCCTCTACCCGTGAATGTTATTTTGTATCTAAGACGAAGATGTAGGGTTCTGTTTTGTTTAAAAGCTAATAGGTAAACAAAACTTCTCTGATATTTTACTATTGTGTGTTGGGGGGGGTCATTTATTGGGGGGGGTCATTGTTTCCAAAGGGCCCGCAGGGATTGGACCCACCCATAGACAGGGACAGCCCTCCTTTCTCTACCATCACACTCAACATTCTCATCTCTAGGCTGGGTCCGGGCTCTGGTAGCTGCAGAATGACTGAAGGCCTCCAAATGTCATAAGAAAATGTATTCACAAAACAAAGATGATCACACACGGAGTTCATGGACAAGCTACCACTCCCCTAACACCACCCCAAGGAGCAAAGTGGCTGAGCCTCAACTTGGTTGCAGGCACTGCCCCTGGGCCCGAGATGTGCACCAGTAAAAGCCCTTTTACACTCAAAAGCTGCCAGCAAAATGTGAGGACAATGTTGTAGACTGATTTTGGACCCAATATGGATCCTCTGCAGCTCACTGACGTCCCTGGCCCATTTATCATTTCAAAGTATTCAGAGTAATTTTTTTCTTCTTGTTACTATTCTAATGGCTGTACAAATTATAAGAGGCAGAAAGCTGCTCTACATCTAACACTCTAAAAGAATGTGAGTATTATCTTTGATTTGAAGGTAAGCCTACAGTAGCAGCTGTATCTCCAGCTAATACACTAGAAATAGAATCCCCTTTATAAACACTTGCTCAAACTGCAGCAAAAATTGTATTTAAAACAAATATTTACTTTTCTAATCATATTTTTGTATTTGTAGAATAGCTTCTGGAAGACTCAGAAAGACAGGGCCCTGATATTAATTATGAAGGCGGCATTTAGTCCACCACAACAAAACTCACTTTTTTTTTTGAGACAGGGTCCCTGTTGCCTGTGCTGCAGTGCAGTGGTACAGTTTTGGCTCAATTCAGCCTCGACTTCAAGGGCTCAGGTGATCCTCCCACTTCCAACTGTCTTTTCTCTTGCATTTCTGAAGTCTCACCCAGCTAGCAGCACCCAGACTAGGAAAATCTAAAACTACAGTCCCCTGTCTCTTAGATAGCAGCTTGGCAAGTACCCAGAGAGACCATGAACTCCGGGTATGGAAACCAGCAAGCAAACACTTAATTTCAAATGACCGGGCAGTATGCACTTAAAACAGAATATAAAACAAACTGGTACGGGGGGTGGTAAGCCATGCCAATTGTTCCTAGAATCTCACCAAACATTTAAGGTAAGCCAGCCCTCTCAAACTGACCCATCTCAGTTAACTTCCTGATGGCTGCACCCAGATGAAACAACTGACAGAGTCTACCTTTCTTTTTTTTTTATTTTTTATTTTTGAGTCAGAGTCTCACTCTGTTGCCCAGGCTGGCGTGCAATGGCAAGATCTCCCGCTGCTGGGTTCAAGCAATTCTTCTGCCTCAGCCTCCAGAGTGGCTGGGATTACAGGTGTGCACAGCCACGCCTGGCTAATTTTCTGTATTTTTAGTAGAGACAGGGTTTTACCATGCTGGCCAGGCTGGTCTCAAACTCCTGACCTTGTGATCTGCCACCCTTGGCCTCCCAAAGTTCTGGGATTACAGACGTGAGTCTCCCTTTCTGTGCTAGGGTGGTGGGCAGGGAGAGGGAGGACAGGTAGTGGCCGCCACTGACCTATGGGTAGTGTCGCGGATGAAGCCCGAGGGGCAATCCTGCATGCACTCGCCGTCATGGATCACAAACTTGTTGTTCTCCGAGTTCTCAGAGCTGACGATGCTGGCACAGAACTGACGGTCCACACAGCGCCAGCCCTCAAACCTGTAGGTGTTGGGCGGGCAGGTGGGCACACAGATACCGGCGTGGTAGTAGTGGAGGCAAGCCACACAGGCTGTATCGTTGTCAGGCGCACTGCAGCTGCCCAGGCACTCAGGGTGACAGCACTCGTTGTTGTCGGTGCACGCCCGCTTCCCACACGCGCTCGGACACACTGTGGAGACAGAGGGGAGATGGAGGTGAGACCAGGCAGGGGCAGCACCGACTTTCTCTGGGCCTGACCAGCATCCTTCTGGGTCATTCACTGCTACTGCCAGTCTACGAAATCCTCTCTCCCACCGCTGCCCTGTCATCCCACAGAGACCTGCAGAGCATAGACATATTCAAAGTCCAGTCTCTCCTGGGAACTCTGTGTTTGGCCTGCGATAAACCACTAGCTTCCGTGATCTTGATCCTCTCTCTTCTCATTTGTAAAATGGGGGAGATGTGGTATCATCATACCCACATCTGAAGGATGGCCCAGGCAAGGGTGACCAGTGGAAGGAAGCCCTACAGGAACCCTATGGCTTGTCATCAATTTAAAAGGCACTGTGCTCTGCTCACTTGGCATTTCAAATAGGTCCCTTACTGAAAACTCTTTGAAAGCCTCAGAATGCAGAAATGCTTACTTTGAAAATGATTGAACTGCACTAAAGATGGTACCATTCAAAATGACTTCAGGAAAATTTCTGTCAGCTTAGATGATCAAAGGTTTTACTCCAAATAAGCCATGATATCCTAACCTGTTAGATGACCAGGAACTCACCATGTCTGCGGGGCATTCTCAAGTCCAAGCACATGGGTGTGTTACAGGAAAGGGGTCCTGATCCAGACCCCAAGAGAGGGTTCTTGGATCTCACGCAAGAATAATTCAGGGTGAGCCGGTAAAGTGAAAGCAAGTTTATTAGGGAAGTAAAGGAAAAAAGAATGGCTACTCCATAGACAGAGCAGCCTGAGGGCTGCTAGCTGCCCGTTTTTATGGTTATTTCTTAATGATATGCTAAATAAGGGGTGCATTATTCATGCCTCGCCGTTTTAGACCATAAAGGATAACTGCCTGACATTGCTGTGGCATCTGTAAACTGTCATGGTGCTGGGAGGAATGGAGCAGTGAGGACGACCGCAGGTCAGTGTCGTCACCATCTTAGTTTTGGTGGGTTTGAGCTGGCTTCTTGGTTTTGGTGGGTTTGAGCTGGCTACTTTACTGCAACTGTTTGATCAACAAGGGCTTTATAACCTGTATTTTGTGCTGACCTTTAATCTCATCGTGTGACTTAGAATGCCTTAACCATCTGAAAATTCAGCCTCATTTTTCGTAGCTCCTATTCAAGATGGAGTTGCTCTGGTTTCAATGCCTCTGACAGGTGGGTGAGCAGTATCTCTGAGCCTGTGGCACAACAGGATATTAGAAGCCATCTCCGCTAAGCCTGTCTGTGTGCTAAAGTTAAATCAGTGTCTAATAAGAACAGATCCACAGTGCACATCCCAAATGGATGAGCTGGCATCAATCTCCAGTAACAGTGCTGCCATGACCACACTCTGTGGGCTGTTAGTCTTACTTGTAAATTAAATATAAATCAACAAAATATGAAATCTGGTTTGCATTATATATTTCCTACTATATCCCTGAATTGGAAAACAATACAAAATTACTTAAATGTGTATTTTTTTTTTTTTTTTGAGACAGAGCTTCGCTCTTGTTATCCAGGCTGGAGTGCAATGGCACAATCTTGGCTCACTGCAACCTCTACATCCTAGGTTCAAGCAATTCTCCTGCCTCAGTCTCCTGAGTAGCTGGGACTACAGGCGCGTGCCACCATGCCCAGCTAATTTTTTATATTTTTAGTAGAGACGGGGTTTCACCATGTTGACCAGGATGGTCTCGATCTCTTGACCTTGTGATCCACCTGCCTCGGCTTCCCAAAGTACTGGGATTACAGGCGTGAGCCACCACGCCCAGCCAAATGTGTATGTTTTTGACTCTGACATGCAATACTGAGTAGAGATTCTAGAATTTGTTTCTTTCTTCTAACAAAAATACATGATGAAAAAAATCAGAGATCACAAGCAAGTAAAGAGAATATAAAGAACACGTTAAGTCCACCTACCCACAGGGACCCCTTTATTAACATCTTCATGCGGACCCTGGGTCCGTTCCTATGTATGTGCATGGACATAGAAACACAAGTATCTATAAAAAGGATAAGCCATTCTGAAAGCTTTTTTTTTTTTTTTTTTTTGTAGAGACGGGGTTTCACCATGTTGACCAGGATGGTCTCGATCTCTTGACCTGGTGATCCACCCGCCTCTGCCTCCCAAAGTGCTGGGATTATAGGCTTGAGCCACTGTGCCCGGCCAAGCTTTTTTTTTTTTTTTTTTTGCATAAAAGATTGTGAGTTCCACAAACATTTAACAGCAGTACTACATCCCATTGCAGAATATATCAAAAGTTACACCTGTCCCCAACTAAAATGTACTTTCTTTACCCCAGCGTTTTATTATTACAATCAGCAAAGCAATCTTCGTGAGTTCCCTTAATATCGCTTACGATCACTCTCCAGAATTAATCTTACTGAGATAAACTCCCCTCTGGGAAGTTTGTGCCAGTTTACATGGCCACTAGTTGCCTCCAAGAGTTCCTATTTCACTGCAAATAGGTGAACTTGAAAACAGATATCAGAAGTTGGACATGCCAACAAATAGTGTCACCTCTGAAGAAAACTGTCATGGTCCTGTCAAGCTTAAAATAATTTTGCAACTTTCTCTTTTGAAGTCATCCTTTGAGAGAAACAACAGGCTGCCTTCCATTATTTATTCTTCTTGTCCTTTCAGTAATTTTTAGTTGGGAATATCACCATCCAGCTACAGACTACATCTCCCTGTCTTCCTTGTAGCTAGAAGTAGTCATATGACTTCAATTCTGGCCAGTGAAATATAAACAAACCTTGTGACTAGAATGTCCTGGAAGACTCCTGAGAACCCAGAGGGCATGGCCATCTCCTCCTGTTGGCTGGAATGCACTAGTTAATGTTTAGAGCTCAAGTACCAACCTTGGACTATGAGGTGAAACATCAAGGGTGGTGAAGCAAGGTAGGAACGTGGTCTTTTGCAAGAGTGGGGCTGCTACCCCAGACTTCTTCAGATGTGAGAGAAACACACTTTCATCTTGTTTCAGTTACTGCTATTCATATATGCAACTGAACTAATCCCTAACTGAGATACAACTTCAGAGCTATCTACAAAGTAAAGAAGAAAACCTTTCCTGTCAGTTTATGCCATTTTGTTGATAAGGATTGGCTCTCAATGACTCCAGGCTATTTCCAAAAACTATTCTAACCCACAAATAACAAGGAGTTACCCATCTCTGATCACACCAAAAAAAGTATGCATTTTATGTGTTCCTAAAATGTTGGGATATATATGCTGTCTACCAAGGTGACTTTCTTGAAGAGGATAAAATTTGAATTTACAAACCTAGCACATCTGCTGTAAACACACACACACAATCATCAAACCCTCACTTGAAGACAGCAATTATTTCAAATCTATCCATTACAGAGGTCACTTCAAGGTCCAAGATCTGAAGCAACACTGAAATTGGGCATCCCAATTTCATGTTTTTAAACTGGTAACAACAGAATGTAATTCCATCTATTCTTCCTTTATCCACTGAGCGACTATTTAAGGTGTGCTGCACCTGTGTGCCAGACAGATGCACGCCAGATCAGTAACAATCCTGTCCCCAAGAAACGGACGACACAACAAGTAACTCCAGGAGGGAGTGGAGCAGCCTGGTGTTTCCCGGGCCTCTGGGTGCTGGGAAGGTTTTGTGGAGCCGGAAGGGGAAAGAGGAGCAAGGGAAGAATAAAAATACCGCAGGTGGAATCACATGTCAATGCTTGTAAAAGCAATGGCGTCACTATGGATGCAGGGGCTGGGTATTAATAAAGATGGCCAGGGACCACTGCTCACGGAGCACCGAAGGCCTGTCCGAGAGGGTTTAACCAACTCTGGATAACAGGGAACCATGAAAGGTTTTAAGCAAGGGAGCAACATGGCCAGATTTTCGTATCAGAAAGGTTACCTGGCAGCAGTACGGGGGCATGATGATCAGAGAGGGCAGGGCTGAAGGGAGAGAGGGACCAGGCTGGAAGAGAGCAGACTCACAGCCTATTTTCCCCACAACATTCACGTTGTATAATAGATCCGCAAGGTTCAGTAAAGCTGGCTACAGAAACAATGCTCACCTTCCTGCTCATCAGCCATGTGCCAGCAGTCCTAAGCATACACCCATTTCAGAGCACTGGAGTCCCCAGAGGCTGCTCTGCAAACATCACCATCACCATGCTTTGTCATCAGAGGAAGGCAACACTGATTGAGAATCTTACCGTCATCGTCAGAGACTAACTGGGGACCAACATCTACTTGGAGAATCCCTTTTCCTGACAATTTAAAGAAAATATTATATACAATGATGTGTAATAGACATTAAGATCAAGTAGCTATTAATGCAGTAGTAACAACTCAAGAACGTTGATAAAAAACAGGCCAGGCACGGTGGCTCACGTCTGTAATCCCAGCACTTTGGGAGGCCGAAGTGGGCGGATCATGAGGTCAAGAGATGGAGACCACCCTGGCCAACATAGTGAAACTGCTTCTCTACTAAAAGACAAAAATTAGCTTTAGTAGTGTGTGGTGTGTGCTTGTAGTCCCAGCTACTCGGGAGACTGAGGTAGGAGAATTGCTTGAAGCCGGGAGGTGGAGGTTGCAGGGAGCCGAGATCCCGCCACTGCACTTCAGCCTAGCACCTGGCGAAAGAGTGACTCTGTCTCAAAAAAAAAGGCGTTACTCCAGAGATGGACACTGTGTTCCCCTCACTGAAGCAGAACCTCAGAGGATACTAGGAGGCAAGTGGGAGAGAACACGAGCAAGTATGGGATTAGAGAGTCCTGGAGCCAGCGCCAGAAGCCTGCTGTAAATTTTGTCTCATCTCAATGTATATAAATATTATTAGTGTTCAGGACCATTAAGGGATCTCTTGAAAGGCCCTGGGCAGAGTGTCTCGCCAGCAGATGGATGGCTGTTCCACGTGAGTGCCAAGACTGGGAATTTCATCTAGTACCAAATTTCCAATACCGCGCTGTGGGCGAAAGGAAAGCACCGTCTTCTCTGGCT